GGAGGAGGAGGAGGAGGAGGAGGAGGAGGAGGAAGTCGGGGTTTGTGGGGATTGTGTTGCTGCTGCTGTTGCTGCTGTCGCTGGGGTGGGTGATGAGGGGGAGGGGGATGCTGATACAGGCGGAGGCGGAGGTGTGGATGCTGTCGTCGTGGATGATGTCGTCCCCTGCGCTGCTCTTTTCGAGCTAGTTGTAGGAGTAGAAGTAGATGTAGTAATCGAAGTCACGGCGTCCGGCACGGTGGTCGAGAAGATGAACGCACCGCCGACGATGTTGTGGAACTGAGGACGGGCGGCCGCGAACGCGGACAGCGGGATGTTGTATTCCTCCAGATGGGGAGGCACAATGTATGGGATTGGCAGTTGTTGTTGCGGGAGCATTTTTGTGGTTATTGATGATGTAGCAGTAATAGTAGTAGTAGTAGTAGTAGTAGTAGTAGTAGTAGTAGTAGTAGTAGTAGTAGCTTGCGGGTATTGTTGTTTTTGGCTATACTTCGGTACCGGTGCAAGATAAAGACATTAAATAAGTTTTTAAGACTCTAATGTAAAAGTAAAAGTAAAAGTAGTGTAGATGTAGATGTGAAAGTAAAAAGCAAATTCAAAACTACAAGAAACCAACCTGGCATTGCCAGTGTTGATAAACTTTTCCCTCTCACCTCCTCTTCGTCTCGATTCTTTCGGTGTGCATCACAAAAAAGTAAGAAACCACGAGTTGTTGCTTTTCACAATCTGGCGGTCAAGGAAAGATTCACCCTTCCCTTTTCTTCCCATCAACATCACCGAAGGATTCAGCTAATTTTAGGCCGATCTGATGGATCTCACTTCTTCAAATGCACCAGTCTTAAAATTCAGAGCAGAAATTCAAGAAATAAAATATAAGATTTGGAAAATTAAATTAAGGTGTGACAAGTGACAGTGACAGAAAAGAAAATTGCCATCCATGTTTATTGAGCTATATTATATTCCATGTCCATTCCTCTCTTCCCCTTTCAATTGATCTATCGAAATGGGTTTGTCTGTACTAATATTATTCCACTCACTCAAGTATGCCCAATCTTTTGGTCCAACACCACCAAAACAACACTTTGTGCCCTAATTGTTTTGTTTCTGTTTCTCCTGTACTTTCGTCTCCCTCCTTTCCTTTCTTTGTTTCTGTTTTTCTCATTTCTCATTTTCTGATTTTCACTTTCCTGTTCTCACCTCACACACGATACCAACGCACCATTTCCCTTCCCAGCCCAACGGGATCCCTCCACACCGACTTCCTCACCACTTCTTCTGCCTCTCCCTCTTTGGCACATACCACCACATCGGTGAGATTTTTGTCTCGACTCGCCTGTTCACTTTCCTCTTGCAGCTTCTGTTGGACCTTCCACCCTCGCACAAACCACAAACACAGCGCCGCCGCGATGTAGAGGATCCCCGAGAAGACCTGCACCGGCTGGTAGGCCGCCGTGCCCCATGCCGGCCGCCGCAGCGCCTGCGCGATCGCCTCGCCAAACGCCCCGGGCGAGATCAGAACGAGCCAGAGGATGCTCAGCGCGCCCGGCAGGTCTTGCAGCCCAATCACCTCGACGATCACGGGGGCCACCGTGGCGAAAAAGGTACCCGACACCATGCCCCCGATCGTTGCGAAGGCCGAGACGACCGCCATATCCTGGGCGGGGATCCAGATCGCGAAGCAGAAACCCGCGCACACCAATGACAGCACCGACGCGACGTTCAGCCGGCCCCAGCGATCGCTCAGCAGCCCAATCAGCGGCCGCCCGACCCCCTGGCCCAGGTTATGCAGCGCGCCGACCACACTGCTCTGGTGCGACGACAGCCCGATCGAGACGGCGAAGTTCGGCAGGCTGAAGTTGACCGCGACGAACCCGAGCGTGCTGAAGATCGCCCACCCCAGCAGCAGCACGAACTCCGCCCGCCGGAGCAAGGGGAATTGGAACGCCGTGTGCCGGCTCGCCGTCGCCTTGTGGCGGTCGCGCAGGAACGCCGCGCTCACCAGGTTCGCCGTGAGCGACACCAGCGCCAGCGTGCGGTACGTCCACCCCAGCCCGATGTTCTCGATCATCGACTGGATCGCCAGCGAGTAGATGATCCCGCCCGTCCCCGCTCCGGCGGCGGGGATCGCGTTTGCGATGCTGCGTTTGCGCTCAAACCACTGTGCCGGGATGCCCAGGTACGTCATATAGATGACGCCCATGCCGGTGCCGAAACAGACTCCCTGCGCTAGGAAGAGCTGCCAGATCTTTGTGGCGAAGGAGGCCGCAATCAAGCCTCCGCTCTGGATGATGATGCCCCCAATCAGGGTGGCATGAGTGCCGTGCGTGCGGATCAAGTAGACGGTAAATGGGGCCATCAGGTATGCGCAGCCAATCGATAAGCCGCCCACCATGGAGTAGGCGAAGGCACTGGTCCCCGGAAATACATTGTTGGTCATATAGTGGGACAGAAAGATCCCATAGCTCTGAAACGAGAGTTAGTTTACTGACTGCAGCATAGAAGACTCATGACATTATCCATCGACTTACCCCATTGATACCCCACGTATTGACTTGCAGCCAGAACACACAAGCCACGACCACCCAGCCATATCCGCCATCGGGGGCTGGATGTCCATGCTCAATGGTCATATCTTGCTTCACGGTCGACTCTTGGCTTTGGCGGTCAGTATCTTCATGTTGTGCATCATCCACTCTGCCCCCAATATGCTTGACCTCCTTCTCCTGCATTGAATCCATTCTGGCGAAACACAGCACAAACTATCACGGAGTCCCTGTCCGATGTCCAGTACATCATGAAACTTCCGGAAAGAAAACAGCGGCGCGAAGAATTAAATAGCATCCAAAGCTCTTGTCAAAAGCTTGCTTCCCAGAGCAAAGGAAAGAAGAAAAAACACCGCCGACGACATTCTGCATCCAAAATTCTCCGCACCGAACACGCAGAACAACCTACTCCACAGGGCTGGAATGTGCCCGTTACCAAAGTTGGCGAAAGTCGCCCAGGAGGGAAGCTTCATAGCCAAACGTTCAGACCTCAGACGACATGATTCCTGATTTTTGGGATCCTCCCAATTGCAAGGGAGGTGTAGCGCTTGCGCAATGCGACGAAGGGGCCGAGGTTTTCAGGTGTCTATCTTGCCTCTTGTGGAATATCTCTGGTATGGAAGATGAAGAATGCTGCCGTCTCCAATGGTTGTTGCACATCATCGCCCGAAAAGAGCGGTATCCCTTGCTTTGCTGGAAGAGTTGATCAGCAGAAGGATAGGTTGATCGGGTTCATGAAACGTTGTATGCTGCTATGAATCGGGTGAGGAGAATAGGCTTTTGTGTGTTTGGGGATGGGAGCTGGGCCATCACCTGATCTTCGACCCTTTGCTCCATGAATCATCCATCGTCCCCTGAGTGGGCGGAAAAACAGATGAGAGGCTCGCTTCAAGAGCGTACCTTTCTTTGCGCGCGTCTGACATCATAGTGCTGAATCTCCTACTGAGTAGCATGCAGATCTGTGTTTCCCGCCAGGAACACCTTCGCGATCGATTAAGGCACGGCCATTCGAGTCGACAGCCTGATCTGCTGACGCAGAAACCAGGTAGTCTGGTCGGAAAACAGCACCCAAAGCCAGATGATGAATCTGATAAGACGATTGAGGCTTATCTCTGCAAAGCCCCTCTTGGATGATGTCGATGGCGCGAGACAAGCTTTTGACAATGGTTGACAAGACCAGCTCAAAAAAGAAGCTCATGGGACTGAACCATACAGGAAGGCATGCGCGTGCCGCCGGAAGACAGACGTATGTCAACAGGTGGCAATATCCGATCAGACTCTTTTGACATGCGCAAGAACCAGCGCGTCATTGGCATTATGAGATCTACAACCCAGGTGGATGTGGCTGGTTGGCCAACTCTTCTGCCGCCTTTCTCGATCACCAGCAGGAGGGGCCCATGCCTGCCTGCCTTCAATTGCGATTCCGACTGAAGGTGAGACAAATGTATACACCATGCTCGTCTTGATCGTCCGATGTTGATGTAGGACCTGCCATTCTCCCTTCGGACTGTAGTCATAGTTAACCCAGTTCATGGCCACTGCTGACCCCGCAATGCTGGAAGACGCGCGTCCTTCCAACTTGAAAATTGTACAGTGTGAGCAAGAATCTAGGTGGTGATGCTAGGTGTCTTGTGCATAGCATCGATGTCTCCACCAGCCTGCCTGAATTGATAGCACAGTGGTTAGTCAGCCTCTGATCGGTTTACGCGTACAAACAATCCAGGACCCGACCAACGCGAGTGCATGGTCCTTCAACTATTGGTTGAGCTTTTAATCAATTAAAGACTTTCGAGCGAAAGTAGTATCGCAAATCTGAATGCGTGATCTATGGTAGGTTGGCAGGTGTGCTTCCACCCCAGGCCGAAAGAAACTGTCACAGTTCCAGATGATCGTTTCAAAGTCAGACAAGCCTTGCTGGTACGTCATGAAAACTGCTTCTCCTTCAGCTATAATTAAGCAAGTGGAGGTCGAATGTTACCAAATTTGTCCGGTATGGCATGGCTCCCGGTCCAATGAGAGGAGAGACATGCGCGTCGAATAATTTGACAAATTGGCTTCAGGCATGAGACAAGTCATCCTCAGCTGGAAGTGCCCCCTCAGCCTGCAATTGGAGAGCAACGTCATCGACTTCCTTCCACACTCGCAGCAAATTGCCTCCGGCTACCTTTCCTGCATCCTCATCACTGACACCTCGCTTCAACAACTCCGCGATCAAGTCCGGATACTTGGACACATCCTCGAGACCCCGGGGAACAGTGGGAATCCCGTCAAAGTCGCTTCCTAAGCCAACGTGATCGAAGCCAATCAGTTCGCCGATATGCACAATATGATCCACAACGTGCGCCAGGGTGGCAGTCTCGGGCTCGAATTGGGGCAGCCCCTTGGGATCTTCCGAGGCCGTGCACGAAACAAAATCCGGAGCGAAATTGACCATAACCAGTGACCTGCGTGCTCTGACCAGCTCCAAGATATCGTCAGGGACATTTCTTGGATGAGGACAGACGGCATATGCGGAGCTGTGACTGAAGATGACTGGCGCGCGGCTGCCGGTCCAGTCATCCTTTCCGGCCCCTAAAACATCACGCATCGTGTCTGTGCTCACGTGCGACAAGTCGACAATCATGCCGAGTCGGTTCATCTCGTGCACGAGCGTTTTGCCCGCTTCGCTAACTCCGTGCCAGAGAGGATCCGCTTTCTTGATCCCACCAGGGATTTCAACGAGGGCCGCATCGGCATATCGGTTGTGGCAGTTATGGGTGAGTGTGGCATACGCAACACCACGCGCATGGAAGTCTCGCAATAGGGCCAGCGAGTTACCGATCGAATGTAACCCTTCCATCCCAAGTGGGGAGATAATCTTCCCATCACGGAAGGCTTGAAGAGCAGTTGTGCCGTTTGGAGGCGCAGAGAACGTATCGGGGTAAGACTGCTGTAGGCGCAGCATAACGTCTACCTGCTCAATTGTCTGGCGGGCGCCTGACGGACGCAGTCAGTCACCTTCACCTGCAAGTAGAATCAGACCGGGCAAACTCACTAGTCACATAATTGGCGTCGGAGAAATCAGTCCAGTTGGCAGGACACTGAACAAACACGCTCCAGAAAGTGCCACCGACCCTGCCTTTGGCTAGTCTGGGTAGATCTACATGGCCTACCAAGTCGCCTTTGGTAAATGGAGTCTTGAACTCGTCGTCGTAGATGTGATTCTGGAATCTTTCTCGGATGAAGATCGGAAGGTCATCATGGCCGTCTATACAAGCACATGTCAGTTATCTAGCAGAAACGAGTTGTTGAGAATAGTCTCACCTATGAGGGGTGTTTCTGTCAAGATACGTTCCACTCGCTGCTCGATGGAGAGTGGTAGACTGCATTTCCGAGCACCGATCGTACGAGTTTTGCTCAAGACAGCCAGAAGGCACGCAGCGATAAGAGTCAGGGCCAAGCGACTCTTGTTGCGTGCGTAGAAAGACCGGGTCTGTGTATGATGTGCGGCATCCGATAGATGCACACCCAATTCAGGATCAAGCTTGGTGTCCATTGTTCAAGGGTAGGAGGGTGGAATAGCTGCTATAAATGGTTGCTATACAGCAGATGTCTCCGTTACCACTTGATATCCTGCGAGGAATTGAGGTAGGAGGTCACGAATGAGGAGGTGATGCGGTGTTACTCAGTATGAAGAGACAATGCGTTCCTGCATGCTTATCTTCAAGCACGGCACAGCCAAGAAAAGACAATCGCTCGGTGACCCGTGGAGACCAACAATAGAACTTTTCTGTACAGTCTAAATGCAACAAGAGCTCATATGTAACCTTTGGGAGAAAAGAAAGGCAGTGTCATCACATCAGATCTAAAGGAATCGTCGCTATACTGCTCTCTATTTAATTAAGACGTTATCTGCGCCGACAGAGGAGTTGGATGACAAATCACCGCGACTACCCGATAAGGAAGGGTAAATGCGGGAGCCAATCATCGCTTATCGAAAAAAAATCCTCGAGAAACGCAGAGATGCCGCTTTAAACTGCATGGAGCTTGTAGGCCTGGTTTATTTTCATTTTTGTGATTTATGCTGCGATATGTATCTGATTTGATTTTCGAGAGTGTTTGTGTCATTATACTCTTTCAAAAGTTCTTTCCCCTGCATTGTGGTGACAACTGCAATCCACTGGGCATGCGATGAGTATCTCTGGGTCCAATCAACCCTCCTAAAATAGTGTTTCCGCCCACTGCACTTAATCCAACCCGCCATTTCTCGGCTCTTTCTTTTCATCGTTTGTCACCAAGGCAAGGCCATCTGCTTTAATCCTCAAAGGCAAACGAAGAATAGGCGAGCAGAACCCAAGGGCTCGGCTGTCTCGTTCTTCCAATCATGGCAGATTTCTCTGTAGACGAAGGTAAGCGCTACACCGACTCGTGCTCGCGCACGTTCTCGTGCTGATTATTCGCCCTGTTTCAGGCCTGCTGGCCTTCTGGCATCTCTATCGTCTGCCGCTTCTTCTCGCTCTCGTCGCCGCGTTTACCTTCATTCGCTTCTATCGTACACTCCAGCCCAAGTCTAGAACGGCCACTGCCTCCTCGATCCCACCGTCCCCTCGAAGCCATTCTCCGGAGAAGAGTGAAAAGATTGCGATTGGATATGACGAAGAAGTCACCAAGGTCGAAAAGTCGGCCATCCAAACTATCGCCGATAAGGAGAAAGCGCCCAAGTCCACATCCGGTCCCAAGAGAGTGTCAGGAAAGAAGCCCTCAAAGGTCGCTGGCCGACGTGCCGGTTCCGACCAGGAACAACAGCCTCTGTCCTTCATCCAGCCTATCATCTTCTGGGCTTCGTTGACCGGCTCAACTGAGAAATATGCCCAGGTTTTGCTTGAAGACTTGCGCGCCGCCGCCCAAGAACGAGCCGACCCGGAGAACCGTGAGCGGGCCATCCTTCCTCCTCAGATTCATGACCTCTCCTATGTCGATTTCGATGACTACTTCGCCGCTGCTCCCAAGCCTCCGTCCAACTCGCCCGGAACGCGCTACGTTTACTGCTTGCTGATCCCCTCGTACAACATTGATACTATTCTGAACACTTTCCTTGGCCATCTTGACGAAACCCACAATGACTTCCGCATCGATACTGCGCCGCTCTCGTCCCTGGCTGGCTACGCTGTCTTTGGTTTCGGTGACAAGGAGGGATGGCCGACCGAGGAGGAGGGATACTGCTCCCAAGCCAAGGAACTCGATCGGTGGATGGCAAAGCTTACGGGTCGGAAGCGGGCGTATCCCCTCGGATTTGGTGATGTCAAGGGTGATGCGGAAGCTGCTTTGAAAGAATGGTCTCATGGTCTTCAAGATATTCTGGGTGACATCCTGGAACATGGTGGATTGGGTGAAGGTGTTCCTGGCAGCGGTGACCCTCTCGAAAGTGACGAGGAGGATCTGGATGAAGAAGGCTCTGATGACAGTTCTAAGAAGAATCGGAAACGTAACAAGGCTCAAGATGTGGTTGACCTGGAAGACATCAAGTTCAGCGCTGATGGCCAGAGCGGATCGGGAGCCCCCGTTCCCGTTGACTTTACTACCACGGGCGCTTCGCCTGCGTCCGCTATTCAACCCACTGAGAAGGAAATGGTCCCGAAGACATCGCCCACCTATGCAGCTCTTACCAAACAGGGCTACACCATTGTTGGTTCTCACTCGGGTGTCAAGATCTGTCGCTGGACTAAGTCGGCCTTGCGTGGCCGTGGCTCCTGTTACAAATTCTCGTTCTATGGTATTCGCTCGCACCTTTGCATGGAAGCTACTCCGTCCCTTTCCTGCAGCAACAAATGTATCTTCTGCTGGAGACATGGCACTAACCCGGTTGGCACAACTTGGCGATGGAAGGTGGATTCCCCCGACCTGATCTTCAATGGTATCAAGGAGGGTCATTACAAAAAGATCAAGATGATGCGTGGTGTTCCCGGTGTGCGTGCTGAACGATTCGCGGAGGCTATGCGCATCCGCCACTGCGCTCTTAGCTTGGTCGGTGAACCGATATTCTATCCTCACATCAACCAGTTCTTGGACATGCTGCACAGCGAGCGCATCTCCAGCTTCCTTGTCTGCAATGCTCAACATCCCGATCAGCTCGAGACCCTCAACCGAGTAACTCAGTTGTACGTTTCCATCGACGCGAGCAACCGGGAAAGTCTGAGAAAGATCGACCGCCCTCTGCACCGTGACTTCTGGGAGCGTTTCCAGCGTTGTCTGGACATTCTCCGCGAGAAGCGTCACATGCAGCGCACTGTCTTCCGTCTTACGCTTGTGAAGGGATTCAACGTGGATGACGAGGTCATTGGATACGCGAACCTGGTTGAGAAGGCACTGCCTTGCTTCATCGAGATCAAGGGCGTCACTTACTGTGGTACTAGCACCAGTGCGGGAGCCGGACTGACTATGCAGAACGTGCCTTTCTACGAGGAAATCCAAGAGTTTGTCACCTCCCTTAACCAGGAGCTGGACCGCCGCGGTCTCAAGTATGGTCTCGCTGCGGAGCATGCTCACAGCTGCTGTGCACTTATCGCATCCGAGCGCTTCTACGTGAACGGAAAGTGGCACTCGCGGATCGATTATGACCGGTTCTTCGAGCTTTTGGAGAAGGAGAAGGCAGATGGCACTCCCTTCAAACCCGAGGATTACATGAGTGAAACGCTCGAGTGGGCCTTGTGGGGCAACGGTGGCTTTGACCCCAACGATGAGCGTGTATACAGGAAAGGCAAGAAGAAGGGTCTCCAAGCTGCAGCAGCAGCTCAGGATTGATTGAACTTGTCTCCTGTCATGTTCAAGTTCCGTGCCACCCCTATGAGCGCCACAGAGACCCTTGGAGGCCTGCCTCATGATCCGTCGTATGGGTGGCTCACAATCATCTTCGAACCGATTCCGCAGCTATGAAAGAATTAGGAGCACCATCCTATCGAAAAACCCACCAAGTAGCCAGGCCATGACCGACGGAGCCCAGCTCGCACGGAGGTGAGCTACTGTGAAAAAGCGAATCGACAAAAGCGGGCCATTCTGCGCTCAGCGTCCCACAGACGCCAAAAATATTCCCAAACTCTAGCCGAGACCGTCGGACAGCAAGATATACTCCAACCGAAGTCAGCTGCTGTGCAAGTCACAAGGCTAGTTGAATTTCTTCTATAATTCATGTATTTAGTTGAGGAACGACGACGAATTCTAGCTATATTTTGTTTATCATGCATACCTAGTGTCTGTCAGATCCAAACTAACAAACACTTTCTCAGTGGTCAAACAGACGGTCGTTGCACATTGACAATCCACGCAACACTACTAGTCATTCGTTGATTCTAACCAATTTCGGTATGAATAGTCATTATTGAGGTTCTGTAGCTGGGAGTGACAGTCTGCTTAGACAATGACGAGGAAAAATTGTGATTCAACGAGTAAGAGTCTCATTGGAGGAATTCGCTTTTGATAAGGTTGTTTAAACACATCATTGCAAGAGATCACCAGCACGATCAAAGTCGTCAACACAGAGCGAGAAGCATGACGCTACTGCGCGATATGAAATGACTGACCACCCGAAGTCCCGGCCAGTCAGTCAGACACCCAACCTGACTGTCACCTCATCCATCTCGGGTGACCATTTTCTGAACTCCTTCGTCGGCAGGTGGTTTTCGAACATACGATCGATTTCAGTTGGGGTCCGGTCTTTCATCTCCGGCACCAGGAACCATGTTATCAGCAGTGCCACGAGACTGGAGGCGGAGAACATGAATCCTGTCTTTGAGCCCAGTGCGCCTTGGTCCGGGTTGAATGCATAGGGCAGCACCAGACCGGCAACCCCAGTTGCGAGGCAATTTACGAGCCATCCTAGTCCTTGCGTCTTGGCGCGGAGCCGTAGGGAGGATGTCTCCGCGCCCACGGCGTAGGTCGCTGGCCATGCCCCAGCTCCGTTGAAGACGACGACCAAACAGAACGTCACAGCCGAGTACCTAGCGGTCATTATCAGACGTGGCCCCTAAACCTGACACTCGAGGAGTGGAGGACAACTGACCAGACAGTGACTTCTCCATAAAAACAGCCGGCAATGCCCATACCCAGCCACAATAGTGCTATGATCCCCAAGCTTGCAATGATGAGCGATACGCGGCCAAATCGGGACAACGTCCAGAAGCTGAAGACATTGGCTGCTAACCCCAGCCCAATGCTGACCTGCAGCATCATAACGCTTGTGTTCGCTCCCAAGCCGATGATCTGCAGGAAATAGCTTGCTTTGGCCAACAGTACGAGTCCCATCATATTCGGGATCATGTTCACGAAGAGGACGATGATTGTGCGCCGCCGGTTGACCCCCACGAAACACTCGCGGTATCCCGCGGATTCTTGCTCCCCGAGTTGGGCCGATGCGCGCAGTTGTTGGATCTTGGCCATGGAGTCCACCTCGGCGGAATCTAGTCGTTTCTGTGCTTTGAGCGCTTCGTCCAATCGGCTCTGGCGGACGAGGTGCGTTGGGCTCTCGGGGATCATGACGGACACTAAGAGGGACAGAGCTGAGAAGGGCCATTGCGATAGGAAGCAGTTGAGGTAGCCCCTCGCTCCGGGAGTGTGGAGGGCGCTCCGGACCACCGCGCTACCTACCAACTGGCCCACGAGTGTGAAGATGGGAAACAGAGCAAGAGTCGGCCCTCGTAACACGGTAGGCAGTACTTCTGACATATAGGTCTCAGCCGTGCTCACGACCATGTACACGGCGAATCCTTGGACTAATTTTCCCACTAGGAAGATGGCCCTGCGGTCGTCGATCTCGGTCGCGAGATTGGAGACATACAAGACGGCGACCGCTATGGCGGAAAGCAGGCTGGCAATGGCTAGCGAAAAGCGACGACCGATACGGTCTTGGGCGAAGCCGCTCGCGATCGCACCGAACAAGCCCCCGATCGGGCCGGCCACGCTCCAGAGGCTCAGCCAGACCGAGGGAATGATCAGTTGTCCCTTCAATTCCCGGCCATAGTCACGCCTTGCGAATGTGAGTATTGAAGAGGTAGACCGCGGGGTTCAAGAAACCTCTTACTGGAACTGTGGCATGGACGACACATTGTTCACAATGACCATATCGTACCCGTAAAGCAGGATGCCGGCAGTCAGAGCAACGCAGTAGCTCAATATCTTATAGGATTGTTTGATGGTCGCCCACACCGTCGGCTGAGCGGTGGATCGAACGTCCTCGGTGGACGAATTGACATGGTCGCTGTTCCGGGCATCTGCGTCTCCTGGATGAACCTGAGCAGATTTCGACTCCATCGTATCGCATATGCTGGCTACCTACCCATGGGGGTTGACTCCCACCTATGTCTCTATGTCGCCCATTATGTAGTCCAGGCTCACGGCCTGACTTAACTCCGCAAACACGGGGCAAATGCTGGACATTTCTCTCAAACAAAGCAAGCAGAGTTTCCAAGACGTTGCACAATGCAGGGCAAGACTGTCTTTCCCAGCCACAGTCGGGTTGGGTGGTCAGTTGCGAGCAGCGGTCGCAGGCGGTTGCGCAGCCATCCTAAGGTCGCATTGTGTGGGATTGAGCGATTGCAGTTCTGACGGTCGGGAACCAGCGAATCAATGAGTTAGGGCAAGAAAGCAAACATGCAGCACCTGCTCTCTGCACCAAGCAGCTGTCCGAGGCCGGTGATCGAGCCTCGAGTCGCGTTGGTAGGGTTCATCCTTGGGCAAGTCAATCCCGGGCTTGTATGGTCCACCACCACGCAAGTTGCAACGGGGCACCCAAAGCCGCTAACTTAGTGACTTGGCGCGTCAGCCACAGACTTTCCGTTTGAGTATCTTGTGATTGCCACTTCGCATTGGATGCTCAGTCATTTATGCAGATGTACAATCTGTGTCCTTTGTCTCAATTTCGCCAATGAATTTTCGTTGCTGCTCATCTTGTGCTGTGCATACTCTTCTACCGAGTTAACGTATCTCGTCGATTGGGGTTTGTACTGCACGGGAAGGGCGCCCGTTCACGTGAAGCGGAAGCTGCTCGAAAAACACGGCAAAAGAAAGGCAGCCGATGCCAACCAACCCTGCCAGCGGCCCAGCGAGCGCCCTTCTGATGCTGCACGCTGTAGATCAGGTTTATAATTGGGCCAACATTGGCTCTCATGCTGCATCAATTGGCCCGGTTCGGAGAGTTTCTCCCCGCCCTGGCGAGTCAGGACGTTTGGTCCTGTCAGGTTCGGCAAAAGGAGACACCATCCGCACCGCACCATTGTCTGGTTTTCCGATCCGCGTGGGTTGGCGTGGGTTTGCGTTGGGTTTGGCGTGGGCAGGATCGACAACCGGTAAATAAGACGTCAAAAGTCCCGTGGATGGGGAGGGAGGGTTTGGTCCAGTCGGGATCAACACTTTTGACAGATATGGAGATGGCAGCTGTCTATCTTTCTAGTTTCCCATAGTCACCGCGGCACTCGGAAAGGACATCCATGATCCATCTTTCCTTTTTTTCTGGTGCTAAATTTAACAAGGAAGGGGAGAGGGGGGGTCAAGTTCAATGGATCTGCCCCGTTCATTTTTTAGGGTGGGCACTGGCGTTGTTGTACTGTGTACATTGCTTGAATTGGGAATAGGCGAACCGCCCAGTTGGGACGTGCCCGCTCTGGCAGGGGAGGAACATTAAGATTGCCCGTTGCCAATTCATTTGCCCAGGAAAACATTCCCCTGATTCTCTGAAGGACCTTCCTTCCTTCCTTCCTTCCTTCGGTCTCCTAGTCTAAGCCTCTAGGCTCTAGGACAATTGGGATTGTCATGGGTCAGTCGGTCCTAGTCGCGTCTGACAGCTCACCCTGGATTGGCTTTCTAGAAGTCTGCAGGTCCAACGCATTTGCTTCTTTGATCCTGGTTTCCCTGTGCCTCCGAGGAGTCCCGGATCCTTGAGACCCACTCACGCGTGGCAGCCCAAACCCGCAGGAATGAGGGGAAGGGGCGTTTCGTCTATAGCACCCGTCGCATATACTCATCGTCAAGGACATGACTGGAGCGGTAATCCCCGAAGAAGAGGCGGACAATCGCACGTGGGAGTGGGCATGCTCGAACGGATGGGCATGGCGATGGCGATGGCGATGGCGATGGCGATGGCGATTGATTACATTGGAATTTAGGATTGGCATCCGTGGGTTGCTGATTGATCTGATCTAGGGTTGTGGAAGGTCAGCTGGGGTGTGGGCGGATGGCGGATGGCGGATGGCGGCGAATGCGAGCTTTGATCCATGGGTTCTGGCAATTCTGCACAACATTAACACCCTCCAAACCATAATCGATCCCAGAGCCATGGATGGCTTGCGCCGTCATGACTTGACTTTCTTCCTTGAACTTTTTTTTTTTTTGGTTTGCCTTCTTGCTTCTCACTTTTCTTACCAATTCTTCCTCGTCTTACTCCTGAGTACTGACTCGACCGTCGGGGAGTCTACCCAAAGTGGAGGTACAACCGAGGCGGAGTGGACCCAGCCCCGTTTCCGGCCATTGACGTGAAATTATCCCCGGTGCAGAGGATAACCTTTAACACTATCAGACACTAATCGTGTCGTCGCTCTGACCACAACGGCTCAGTGGGGGGGAAGAATTGCTCTGACTCTCTGCGTCTTCGCCACGACTCAATCCGCACGAACAATTATCTTGGTTTTAATCTCGGCAGAATGGAGCCCTCTCCGCGACACCTACCTAGTGATGATCTCATTCCTGAAATGGCTGCTCGTACTCAGTACAGTCTCTCTAAGCGAGGGGGCTCTACTGGAGTCTGTCTTCCTTGGTCCCCTTCAGCCCAGGCACTTACTCAGTAGGTGGATTAGTTAGTTAGACTTTGGACCGGCGCACCGTCGATCTCGGTCTGCATTGAGAGAGAGAAGACAGAGAGAGGGGGGCGGCGATGTGCAGACACAACCCTAGACCAGTTTAGCCTGTCATGACCACCTCCGACCAGGGCCAGACGGTCGTCGACCGACTAGATTAGCGTGCCTGGAGTTCAACTTCCTCGGGCCCTCTAGACCGTGAGTGTGGGACGGGGACGTGCAACAATTATTTTGAAGGTTTTCCCTTGCGTCTCGTCTCCCTTCCCGTTCCCTTTTTTCCCCATCGTTCACTCAAATACCGGTTGCGGTTCCCTTCGCCCCTACCTTTAGTGACGGTTTCTCTGCTCTCTCTCTCTCTTTTTTTTTCTTTTTTTTTTTACTTAGTCCTCCGGATTATGCCTTGCTTCTTGCAACGATAGCATGGCAGCAGATGACCGCAGCCCGGAGGTTAAGGCGGTTGCGGCCGTCTTTATGTCCGTGGCCTGCATTGCGGTGATACTGCGATGCTATGTGCGCGGATGGATTGTTCGAGCGTTTGGGATCGATGATTGGGCGATGGTGGTTGCGATGGTGAGTTAGCATCATCATCTTGAACAAGTGGGACGCGAAAGCTGATCATCCCAAGTTATTTTACTGCATGTTCTCCGGATGTATGATAGGAGGAGCCATCTACGGCACTGGTCGACATTTCAGTGTCCTGGATGCGCACCAGCGGGTGACAGCCATGAAGGTACGAGTTCGCCCGGGGAAGTCCAAAAAAAGCGGACGGGGTTACTAACTCTCACCATAGTACTGGTGGTTCTGCGAAATCGCATACTGTTTCTCCGCCATGGGCTGCAAGATCTCTGTGTGCATCTTCTTGCTGCGCATCACCGTGAAGCGCATGCATATCTGGATCCTGCGCATTGTGATGGTGTTGACCGTCGTCGCCGCCCTGGTCTTCATGTTCCTGATGCTGCTGCAGTGCAAGCCCGTCTCCTATTTCTGGACGCGCAAGGCATTCGACGACAGCATTCATGGGGTCTGCATTAATATGGAGATCATCATCGCCATGACCTACGTGTACAGCGCGTTTGCGGCGCTGTGCGATTTCACCGTGGGCATCTTGCCGTTTTTCATTGTCAAGAACCTGCACATGCGGAAGCAGACCAAGATGGCGGTTGTGGGCATTCTGGGCATGGCTTGCATGTATGTTTCTTTCCCGTTAGAGTGGCCTGGCCGACTTACTGACTGACGATGTTTAGTGCCTCATCCGCGACGATCATCCGCATTCCCTGGGTGCACACCTTTAATGACCCGGACTTTCTCTGTATGTTTCCTCCGCTCTTCCCAGCTTACCAAATCGACCAAGCTAATCCTTTGTGTCGCCTAGATGCCACCGTCGAAATCGCTCTCTGGTCCAACATCGAAACCGGCCTCGGAATCACGGCCGGTAGTCTCGCGACCCTCCGCCCCCTCGTCCGCCACTGGCTGGGCTCCCACTCCGACCCCAACTACTACGACCGCTCGCCCTTCGGCGGCCCCTCCGGATCGCGTCGCATCGGCGGCGGTGCCAGCAACAACCCCCACCACCATGCCCGATCTCACGAACGCCCCATGCCGCTGGGGTCGCTCGACGAAGCCGCCGTGCAGGGGCGCCTGCGCCCGGACAAGCTGGCGGTGACGGTGACCACCATCCACAGCCAGCGGGGGCCCGTGACTTCGTCGAACAGCAGCGAGGAGCAGCTCACAGCAGGGCTGTCGGGCGAACGATCGCCCAGCAGCAAGGATAGCCGAGGCCGCCGTGACCGCGACCGCGACACGGGGTCGCATCCGGGCTCCGCCGGGGGCCCCGGCGGCGGCGGCGGCTTCGGCGGGATCCAGCGCACCTTCGAGGTGACGCAGACCTCGTCGGCCGGGGATGATTCGTGTCATGAGCATAGTATGGTGTAAAGGTTTTTTGTTTTTGCGTGTACGACTACTGTACAGAATTATACCCTCGGTTGTATTTGTCTGGTCTGTGGGATGGGATGGATGTATATACCACCGAAGTTATGACATTTTCCTTTGTTATGTGTATTGTCTTCACTCGAGTTGAGTCTTAATCATGAATAATCATTTATCATTGTTACTTTAACTCTTGAGTCCATGAACTGATTCAACAACAAACAAACAAAAACACCCATCCCCACCTCGCATGTTAGAAACACACATCCCTCAGCAAGGAATTGTCCAATGCTAGTGCTAACTAATGGCAAACATGATTACCAATAGCTCCAGACAGCCTGTAACTAATCACCTGCCTAAACCAACCAAGCGGCAGTTTCCCCGGGGCGAACCTCCCCACTCCCCAGCTTTAAACTTCGGCAAGCAAGGGCGCAAAAGTAGCAAGTAAAACTAAGGTTTCAGTTTCTCCTGCATGATGCGTGTGGCATGGCATGGGGATGGGAGATCTCGAGACGAGCCCCGGCATTAGACTAGCAGATGAAACACCTCCCATTTTTCTTTTTGACTGACAAATTCTGACTCGTGGGAAACCGACCTTGGCTGAATGCCGTTAGCTGCTGCGACTCGCGAGTCAAATGTGCTTGGGCGAGAACGCGTGGGCTGGACTGGAAAAGCCGAGCCATTAAGGTTTCGAGTGCACCGGAGCCCGGAGCCGGAGCCGGAGCCGGACCCAGCGTTCGCTCTCTCGGGATTTGGGGTGGGATTCTAGATCTTGTGTGAGGTGTCACTATGATGTATGATGTATCTGATTCTGTTTGGGTTGTGGTGTGGTGGTTCTATGGGGGGGGGGGGGATTAGTCAGGCCCTGGGTTGTCAATTAGGGTGGTTAGTCTAATAGGTAGGTGGCTAATGTGATTGGCAGCGACTGGGATATTTACAGTTCTGGATTCGGTTGATGGTTCTTTGGAACTGTACTCCGTAGATGGGTACCATATCTCTATTCGTTTCTTTGGGTCTAGAATAGTTCTTATTGACCGGGTGCGTTGAGGATAATCTGATTACCTACTTCGTAGAAGTTGACATTTACGGAAGATCTACTACGGTCAAATCTACTGTATGGGCTCGCTTCTGTGCTTCTGGTAAGTTCAGCATTCAAAGTTTAAATCCAGACGATGGATATTTTGTCTCCAGAGAGAACCAGTATGCGAAGTTGATAGTGAACTAGTGCTGACTCTCTAGTCATGTCTAACTTCTGAGAAAAGTCAACAGCAAAACCAAGGTACACACAGCACTTCCTCCACCAGCGCTAGACCAGCCACACAATTCAACACGTACACTTAGAATCGGACTAACCACCTGCCTTAAACCTCAAATACGACTCAAGTTGAACTCAACCACCAAAGCAAGATTAGAGTAAACACTAAACCAGAGTACAGAACCCCACCCCCTTGACTACTGTTATGTACTCCAGGACCCGCCCCCACCTCGATAAGATCTATCACCAAACCCCCATCATAGGACCAAACCCCAACAGGCCAGAGATTACAAAAGACTATTGCGGCCATTTAGTAGATAGATTTTTTTTTACTAAATATTTTTATTATAGTAGTTACCCCCTATTAAAATTTTATATTACATTTTGTTCTAATTCTTAAATTATTTTTTTAATACTAAAATATTATTTATTAATTAATTAATTTATTTTTATTTTTAAATTTTTTTTTAAAATTTTATATATCTAATTTAGCTTCTTTTGATATTTGTAAAGGGAAAAGGTCAGTTAGGTATAGAATAGTAGTAGTCTATTAATTTTAAGACTAATTCTTGCTATTCTAAAGATTTAGTAAGATCCTAGAAGTTAAATACTAAAGAAGATCTGAGTTATTAATATTATAACTATTATACAGAAAATATATAGATAGATTATTAATAATCCGCTATAGCTATAGGAGTTATTTATAATAATTAGACTTTCTTTTATATACAGCTGTTTTTAGTAGTATAATAATAATATAGTACTACCGTTTCAACGCGGGAGCTAACTATTTTCGGAAGTATAGTAATAAATAGTAGAAAGTTATAAACTAGTTCTATTTAGAATATATATTATAAATAATATTATTTTGCTTTAAAAATGCTGTAATTCTTTAATATTAATATTAATAATATAAATATGTTTTTATACATCTTTCTTAATATTCTTAATATTATTAGTATTGTTTATTTTATATTAAAAAGTTTGTATTTTTCTGCTGTTTTTATATTTATTTATTTGTTCTAATATATATATACAGTATTTATATTTTATATTTTTTTTAGCATTACTAAAATATTAATAAGTAGTTATAATATTTATACTATAATACTATATCTTCCGCAGCGAATCGTTATTTTTTAACTAAAATTTTATTTTTTTTAGTATTTTTTTTTGTCTAAAATATTTTCGGATTAATATAAAGAACTATAAGTATAGTTTTAATAGAAAGTTTAAGCCTGAATATATTTTTAATATAGTTTTATCGGTAAAATATTAACAGTATACTAGTTAAAAAATAAATTATATTCTAATAAGTTTTCTTTTATTTAAATTTTTAAACTCTAGTTAAATGTATACCAGACAGCGTCGAAAATACTAGATAATATTAATAATTTATTATTAATTTTCTACTAGTTAAGCTTTTTTTAGACGGTAAAAGCAGAAAAAAAATATAATTTTATTTTTTATATTTTTTTTAGTTTTTTAGCCGCTAATCTTACTGCTTAATTTTTTAATATAGAAAAGGCCTACTATATTAAGTATAATATAGCAGCTACTATTAAGAAAGCTATAGTTATAAATAATATTAATTATTTATAAAAATTATATTAATTTTTTGATAGAAAAATCTAGTTATTTATTATAATTTTATTATAAAATATTATACTTTTATTACTTAGGCCGAAAATTTATACAAATATTTTTATTTTTTATTTAATAATACTAGTTATTTATTTTAGTACTATACAGCTACTTTCTATTTAAATAATATAATCTATAAGATTATATGTTTTTATACCAATAAAAATAATAATAAAAACTGGTATATTATTAATACTAAGAATATTTTTTTATTAGTATTATCCGCGGTTTATAATTTTATTAATATTTTATATTTATTTTTTATACAATAATATCTTTTATCGGTAATTTTTATTTAATTATTTTTTAATTTTAATAGTCCTGCTGAATGTATGTAATCTGGGTTTTTTTTAATATTATTTTTACTATAGTTTATACGCGTAGATATAAATAAAACAGATATATAATATAATAAACTTATATTTTTTTATTATAAATTATATACACGTTATATATATTTTATAGTTATTTTATTATTATTTTTATTATATATTAATCTTAATTTATATATTACAGAATAAAAAATTATAATTCGATTATTAAATTTATAGATTTTCTGCTAAATATTTATTAAAGTTTCTGTCAGTAATTATTAATTATATTTAAAAAACTATTTCTATTATTTTACTAGATAAAATTAGTTTTTTTAATAATATAGATTATTTAGTACCTGTTTTATCTTTTATTTTTTATTATTATTTAGATCTAATATTAGTAAAGTTTTAGAGATATTTTTTTTAACTTTTTAAAATTTCAGCAGAATAATATAAAAAATATTATATAACTAAGTATATTTATTAAAAAAATATAGACAAAATACTTATTTTTTTATAGTTTTTAGAATTTTAAAAAATCCTATAAATTTTAGAACTAATTTTCGAGGAATTCTCTTAAATTTAATATTTATAGTAGATAGCTTAACTAAATCTTTTTATTTAAAAATATAAACTATTTTATTATTTTATTTAAAAAATAAAATACCGCAACAGCTATTATAATAAGTTAATTAATTTTTATTTATTTTCTACTAGTTTTTTTTTAATTTTTTTTATAAAATATTTAGCTTTTCTAGTCTTTCTAATATTAATAGTATTTCTATTTTTATAGAATTATTCTCGATTTAAAGTCTAAACTTAGAAGAATAATTTATTAAAGCTTTAAAAAAAATTATTTTTATAGAAATATTTAAATAATTATTATATATAAATTCTGTTTTATTTAATAAATTTATTTAATAATTTTAATATTTGGTTATAAAATAGTATAGATAATATTTAAAAACTTAGTTAGTTTTTTCTATTTAGCTGTTGGTTTACGGGTAAAATATAGTTAATAACTATTTTTTAATTTTAGTTTAATAGTAAAAATTAAATTAAAATTAACTTATAAATACAGAGTCTCTATTTATAATTATATTATAAGAAATTTTATATTTTAATTTAATTTTTTAATAAAATAATTCGGCTAGTTTTTTTATTTAAATTATATATAATACTATTATAAAACAGTTTATTTTTATAAAATAATTAATAATTATTAATATTAAATCTATTTAATAACTCTAATAGTATAGTTCGAGTAGTTTTATAATAAAATTTATAATAATTTCAGTCTATAATTTTAATAGAATTAGTAGATTTTTAAATTTTTTATATAGTTAATATCTAGCTGTAGTTTAATATTAATAAATAGAATATATTACTATATAGTTTTTTATATTATTTTAAAAGCTAATTTAATAGAATTTTTTATAAAAAAATTATTTAGTTTTATTTTATTTAAAATAATCTACTAATAGATTATTATAGTATTACTATAATAGCTTTTAATATAAGTCTTTTATCTCTAGTATATAAAATCTATTTTTAAAATATAATAATTTATTTATTATAATTTTCTAATATTTAAATAGTTTATTTTTTTTTTTTAGAATTTAGAATCTTAATTCTGAAAAGTTTTAATTAAATTTTTTAGATTATTATTATAAACAGATTTATAAATCTTTTTAATTTTATTTATACTTTTTATAGCTATAATACTAGTAGATTATTTATAGTTTATTATATAAACTATAGTTTAGTTAGCTAATTTTATACTAGTAGTATCTATAGACCTGCTTAATACTATATAAATATTAGATTTAGATTTTTTTTATAAAAATATTTTATTATATTTAAACTAAAATTTTTTAATTTTAGTTACTGCCGAGACTTTAAATATTATTAAAATAAATATTAACCGGTTATAAAGCATCTGTATAATATTATTATTATAAAAACTTTTTACTAGCTCGAATAGTTTAAATAGAATATTAACAGAATTATTTTTATTTAATTAATATTTAATTATAAAATTAAAAAAAGTTAAAATTATATATTAATATACTTAATATCTATTAAGCCGGGATTAATTTATAAATAATCTAAGATTTATATAATTAAATAAAACTTTAATAGAATACTAAGTTTTATCAAGATATTAATACTAATATTTAAAAAAGTAGATAATAGTAAAAAGTTCTTAATTTAAAATACCCCAGTTAAGTTCTATATCCGAGAATTCTTTTAACTAAATAATAATTATATAATATTATTTTATTAGTCTCGGTTAGATTAAAATATCTATTATTTTTTTATTATAAATATTAGTTTCGATCCGAATAGGTTAAATTAGATTAAAGAAATAAAAAAAAGAAACAGTCTAAAATATATTAATAAGTTAGTAAAATACTAGTTTTTTGTCTAAAAATAAATAATATATTTTTAATTTTTTACTATTTTAACTTTTCTTTAAAAAATTTATTAAAGATAGTATTAGTAAAGAAAAATTATAAATAAATCTATAGTAGAAGTTACAAAATTCTAAAAAGATTTAAATATTATAATAGATAGTAGATAACAGCTATAAAATAATAGTTTTAACTTAGTTAAGATTTATTATAATATCTATAAAAAAAATAATATATTTAAAAAATTTAACTTATTACTAAAAAAAAAATATTTAGATAGTTTAATATATAAATTAGCTTTTTATAATTATATTAGTACTTTTTTAATATACTCGATATATTTATATCTTATTATTAAAAAAATAAAAATATTATTTAAATATATAATATAAATAATATCGAGAATATTATATAATATAAAATATATATAGTTTTAAAAAAAAGTAAATATATTAATTAAGCTAAATAGTATTATTATATACTTAAAATAACTATAATATATATAAAATACAGTCTTTTATTTATTTTTTTTTAATATAGATATAATAATAGATGTTCTAAATATTAATTTTACTAAAGTATTTGTATCTAGTTAATTAGTTAAGAATTTTAGAAATTAAAAATAATAAATATTAATTTTTTATTATAATTTTATTAAATTTATAATAATCTATATATAGCCGCAAACTTTTATTTTTTTTAGATACAAAGAGAATAGAGGCCCCTGTAGAACTTTTAAATAAATATATTTTTTTATTAATAATATTTTTATTAATATAATTTTTAAGTATTAAAAGTTCTTTTTTTAAAAAAAGATAAATAGATCTAAATAGAAATAATTCATCTTTAAGAAGATTAATAGTATAATTTTTATTATAATATTTAGAAAAAATTTTAGATTAATTAGAAGAAAAAATATCAGTAAATTTAACTAGTTTTAATAGAATAGAATTATTTTAATAGTATTTTAATTTCTTATTATTATCTGAAAGCTATAGTTTTTCTAGAACTTTAATAATTATATAAATATAGATATAATTTCGGCAAGTTTTAATAAATTTTCAAGAACTTAATTTTTAAATTTAACTAAATTTAAACTACTATTACTTATTCTAGAAAAATAAATAAATTTTATAATTAAATAAAGTAGTTATAGAAAGTAAGATTAGAATATTTTAAATAATAATAATATATAATCTAATAAAATATTATTATACTTTTTTTAAATTAGTAATATCTAAAGAAATATTCTATATTTTATAGTTGGTAATAAAAATATAGTTAATAGCTTTGAATTATAATAAAAATTTTTAAAATTTTAAAAAAAATATTATTATATAAATCTAATATTAATTAGATTATATATTATATAACTATTAATATCTGTATAGATTTTCCTAATATTAGATATTTATATTAATATTAATATTTTATCAGCTGTTTTTATTTTATAATATAAAATTAAAACAGAAAAATTAGTTTTAGTTTATTTTATTTTTTTATATTATTTTTTCTAGCTTATAATTCTTAAATTTAAGCTGATCTCTTTTTTTTTAAAAAATATTAGTTGGCGAGATAGTCAGTACTATTATATAAAAAATATTATAAAACTTTTTTAATTAGATTAGAATAATTAGTTTTAAAATTAAAAGATTAAGTATTCTTATAAAATTATAATTATTTTTATAATATATTAGACCTGTCAGATTTCTGTTTATATTTTTATTTTTATATATATAAATTTTAATAATAAATAATAAGAAATATTATTTTATCTTATTTCTTAGACAGTTAGTATATATATTCTTTAATATAACAACTAAAATCAGAAAGTAATTTTATAAAGAAAATATAATTATATTTTTTTTTAGTAGCTCTAGAAAAATATTATTCTAAAATATTAAAATAAATATAAAATTTATAAGAATTTTAATTATTTTATTACTAAGCTTGCTCTAGCTGGCTTATTATATTAGACTTAAAAATAGTAGTATTTCGGATAAAAAAAAATATCTATTTAGTAAAAACAGACTATAAATAGCTAATATTTTTTTTTATTTTAATAATAATTTTTTAAAATAATAATATTATTTTTATTAATAAGTTATATTTATATAGCTTACAGCCTCGAGAATCTTATAATAATTATTATAAAACTTAAATAATATTTTCTAAAAATTATAATTTAAATTATAAAACTATTTCTGGCGTTTTTAAATATTAAAGAAAAGTTTAAATTGCAGAATATCTTTAATTTTAATATTTATTTTAAATTTATTTAAAAAAGAGAAAGTTTTTTGTTGCCGAGTTAGTACTAATTTAATATTATTATATTAGATTTTCTGTTATAGTTCGGCAACTTATCTTTATAACTACTAATAATCTTATAGCTAACTAATAGTATTTTTAACTATAGTAAGATCCTCTACCAAAGAATCTAATAATAAAAATAATAAACTATTAGTAATAAAAAAAGTTTCCGACTCGGAACTACTATTGAAATATAGAAATTATAGTAATATACTATATTCTATAGATAACTAAAGAGAAAAATTTAGAATTATAAAAAAAAAATTAGTTAGATATAGAATAGTAGCAGTCTATTAATTTTAAAACTAATTTTTACTATCCTAAAGATTTAGCAAGATTCTAGAAGTTAAATACTAAAGAAGGTCTAAGTTATTAACGTCATGACTATTACACGGAGGATGCGTAGGTAGATTATTAATAATCCGCCATAGCTACGGGGGTTATCTATGACAATATTAGAATATTTAGAATTTTTAGAAGCCAAAGATATTAGTACTAAAGTTCTTATTAAGAAATATTTTTTATTATATTTTTATTAGAATGATTAAGATTCTATATATATTTGATTTTCTTATTTTGGCAGATCTCTTATTTGCTGAGTGGCCACAATGGTCTTCTGTCCAGCACTGGATGCTGCCGCTGCTGCGTCTCCGTCACAGCCCACTCAGTCTACATTTATCCAGGCACCAGAAACCGGTCACATATTACTGAGCTCACGAAACCTCCAACTGAGAAATCTAGTTCTTGGATCATTTTCATGCTGTAAGATTTTTTCCCTGACACTCTTATTCAGCATGCCATGTGGACAGAAAGACCTATGTCTAAAGCGGCGTCGCTGCGTTCATTATCGACGTGAGCATGCAAAGGTAAACTATACTCAACTGTGCCCTGAGAAGTTATACAAAGCACTCATGGTCTATTGTGTGATGGTGGCAGACCTTGCTCAATCTGCGCGAAGCGAGGCCTCAACTGTACCTTCTCCACGCCTACCTTCAACTTCACCATCGTCTCTTACCAGCGCCGCCTACAATTAAGTGCCCTAGGTGCTTACCGGCCTACAAGTGAGTCGTCATATACCAGTTTCTTTTTCGATTTCGTGGGCTTTGCCATCTCGCCATTCATCCAACTTTTCTCCTTTGAATCCATTGGGGACCTTTTCCGCCACGATGATTTAGTGCGCAGCCAGAATTGGAGCCTTCAAAGGCGCCAGTTAAAGTGATCAAGCTCACATTACTTCCTTTAGCTTTTGCACTGTATCTAGCGGATGCATAATCACGGCCGTGTTAGTCGCCCAGCACTTTCCTGCAAGGCATCAACTATTCATCCCATGCATGTTGTCTTGGCAACCCCTCTTTCATGCACTTATCTTATCAATGTTCACAGCTCATAGCTGAGCTTGATCTTGTCGAACACTTTCGCTCAAGTCGTGCCAACTGATAAGCCATGCATGTATGATTCGTCACTCGTGCATAACTCATCATTCTCCCTTCCGAATGACCTATAAAGCCTAAGCTCGCGACCTAGCACTTTCAGCATGCTGTGTCGAGCATCGCTTTACACTCAACCGCCATGTCGGTCCAGGCAGCCTGGGAGAGCTGCTCCAAGATTGATACTCTGTTCATTCTTGTGTGTTCTGTCTTTTGCTGGCTAATCATTCCTGCTGTCGGTCTTGCCTACTCGGGTTACTCTACACGCTTTAACAGTCTCGCATCCTTCTACCCTGGTTTGCTGGCGGTCGCTGTCTGTACCATTCAATGGTGGATGATTGGGTACTCTCTCGCCTACAGCGAGGGGAACAGCGTTATTGGAGATCTCAACAAGGCTTTTCACGTTGGAGTTCTTGCTGAACCCGTCGGTTCTATCCCCGAGATCTTGTTCTCGGAGTTCCAGCTCATCTTCTGCGCTACTGTGTGTGCAATCGCGATCGGTGGAGCCTGCGAGCGTGGGCGTCTACTTCCCTTAATCCCTTTCATCTTCGTCAGTCACCATTCCTCGTACTCCCGGATCGCTCCGCTAACACTGTATAGCTATGGTGCACCTTCATCTATGCACCTCTTGCCCACATGGTCTGGTCTGAAACAGGGTTTCTCGCCAACCTTGGTGCCCTCGACTTCGCTGGAGGCACGCCAGTTCATATTTGCAGCGGAGCCACAGCCACTGCTCTAAGTGTGTATCTATCCTATCCTCTGTTCCGTTCACGACGCTCCTCGTTGCGCACCCCGAGCCATCTCGCTCTTCACCGCCCACACAATACACTTTGTCAACTTCTCGCTCTAATCATCATCTGGAACGCCTGGCTTGCCTTCGACGCGGGCACCACCCTCGCCCTCAATTTCAAGAGCGTCATGGCCGCCTGTGTGACCAACCTATGCGCTGCCTCAGGGGCCATCACATGGGCTAGTCTCACGTATTACCATACTGGCAAATGGAGTCTAGACAGCACCTTTCTCGGAGCGATCGCGGGACTCGTCCTCATCACCCCAAGCGCCGGTTTTATTGACATGCCGACCGCAATGGGATTTGGTGTTCTCGGCGCAGTCTGTGGCTACCAGGCTCTGCGCATCAAGTTCACCAAACACGCGAAATACTACCGCTGGGTTGATAATGGCGATACTTTCGCCACGCACTGTCTTGGTGGGTTTCTGGGCACCATAGTCACGGGCCTCTTTGCGCAAAAGGAAGTGGCTGCGTATGACGGAGTCACGGAAATCACGGGTGGGTGTCTCTTTGACGGGAACTGGAGACAACTTGGGATCCAAGTCGTCGAGGCGCTGATCGGCTTCGTCTGGAGTTTTGGAGGAAGTTATTTACTCTATGCATTGATCGATTGTGTGCCTGGGTTGGAGGTTCTGGCTACAGATGAGTATGCTCTGAGGGGTATCGGGTGAGAGAATGATCGCTGACTTATGTGGACAGTGAGGTTATTTCTGGGCTGGACAAGTCTCAGATGGACGAGTCGTTGCACGAAGCTCAATGGGCTGGAGAGGAGGAGTACCATCCATTCCAAGGCTCAGTCCAGATATAGAAGGGCATATCGGTGGCTTATGGATGAATTGGCTATTTGCTGGCACTGCTTCACTATTATCAAAAGCTTGAAGCTGTGCCAAAAAGTGAAAAGAGCGATCTCTATGCTCACTCAGTTGACAACAACCAACACTTTAGCACTAGACAACGAAAAGCACCTAACATATTCCATAACTTGTGGAACACTCTACAGAGGACTTACTCCGGACCCCATGCAAAATCTGCCTCACAATCACTATAGACACATTGGATTCGATTCAGCATCAAACCAACCTCTTCGTCAAAATGTCCTCTTTAGCACCCACGCAGCAAACAGGAAAAGCAAATGAATTTCGACCGCAAGAAAAGAACTCACCTATTCTCGTCCATCCCCGGCTCTCCGACTCGCCACTCCCATATTACCGAAACTTTAAGCCACCGCCCCTCTGATTCAATGTTCAACCACAAGGATGGCCAATACGACCCAGGGAAACTACCCGGACCTCAGACTCACGGGCTCGTGTACAGAAAGCTACCATTCGGAACTGATTGCCGAATTGCACAGCCATGCTTCATCGTGATTTTGAACCTGTCTAGGTCTCTGAATAAGCAAACTTTCCCTGATGATAGCTTAGCCACTTTCGATCATGATACTACGGCTCTAAGAAGAACTTTGAAACCCATCCACACTAAGAATTAATCAGAATTATTTCAGCTTTGTGGATTATTATCTGAAAGTCTTCTGTAGCGTTAATCAATAATAGCATTGACCGCGTCTTGACTATAGCTATATTCAATTCATGGGTTCCTGTTCTCTCTGTCAGCGATTGGCGCGTCTTGGCTCCTGCAATCGACAGACTGTTGGAAGCTTCGTTCCTTATTAAAGCACCAATCACAAATTGAGACATTGGCTGCTGCCTGGGTTGTGTACGGAAGTTGTTTAAATCTCTCCTGAAAGTCGAGATGTCTCATACCTGTGGCATCTGCCCTGGATACTTAAATACATTGTTCTCCGACTATGCACCACCAATCTGACGAAGCGCCCTGTGCAGAAGTTACGAGGTATATCGCTACAACTAACAGATTTGAGGTTATGTTAGTCGCAATGATATAGTGTAGTAACTTATCAGCCCTGAAAAACAAGACCAAGCGCTTGCGTGGTAGAATAGGGGCGAGAGCCAATGACAAGGATGAGAAAAATAAGGGAAGTTGTTTAGCGATGCATAACGCGAGGCGCTAATTGAAGAATGTAATTCTCATTTTATGCTTGGAATTATCGTTTTTAAAAGTGCCGGACAGAGATGACTCTACTGATCGTGATTATCTAGCTGATACATAACCTCATGGAGGACGGGGATTGGAACTGCTGCCTTTGCTTGCTTTCTATGCTACGACGGCGTAGGCCTGTAACAAACAACTCATACACCAACGCATAGATGCATAACATGAGAGATAGTGAATTGATGCGAGTCAATTTCGAGAGGTCACTTGCAATCGCTTAATAGAGCCGTGCCGTCAGCTTCGAGCCAATTTCCCTGATACTCTCCATACCGACTGAAAATAGCAGCGTTAGCCTAAGCCTAGGGACTGTTTGATTCGTGATCCAATGCCGCTGCTCCTTAAGCAGTTTTAGTACATACCTGAAACATAATAGTGGGCCTTGCCGCCTGGCACTATGATTGACTATAAATGTCCTCTACCGGCTCTGTAGATAACATTCGATAATTCTATGGACTACAAGATTCACTATGGCAGCCATGAGGCAAGACAGCAGAGACTTTGCCCTGCTATCCGGCGAGCCAAGAAGAACCCCCAAGCGCTTGATATTCTCCTACCTGCTCGACTGGATGTTCATCATGTCTGTAGCGTTGACCCTGGCGCGACAAGAACGCCCATTGCTGAAACTCTTCTAATTTGCAGTCTTCTCGTCATCGTCGGTGCCATCCTATACAGCATCACCGGCTCCGAGCACGTCTTCTCCCTCGACGACCCTAGCATTTCGTATCCCTTGAAAACCGACACCGTCTCGATCGTCACCGTCGGAATCGTCTGCTGTGCCGTCCCCGCGCTTCTCATCGCCGCCCTCAGTCTCCTCCTCCCGATCCCCTGGAGACTCCGCCTCTGGGAATGGCACGCCGGGTGGCTGGGGCTGGGTCTCAGTCTCGCCGGCGCCTTCTTCATCACCTCCGGCCTCAAGGACGTGGTGGGCAAGCCCCGGCCGGATCTGCTCGCGCGGTGCCAACCCAACCTGTCGTCCCTCAACATCACCGCGTACGCCGTCAGCGGGCTAGGCGTGGGGCGTCCAGAAGCCCCAGTGATGGTCACCACGCGCATCTGCCAAGCGACCGACTCCAAGACCCTCCGCGACGGATTCGCCGGGTTTCCGTCCGGTCACTCCTCGTTCTCGTGGTCAGGCCTGCTGTACCTGTCGCTCTGGCTGGGGGCGAAGTTCGCCCGTGCTGTTCCTGCTAGTCCTGCTCACTACCGGGACGCGTCCAGCCGGGCTGCTGCTGCTACTGCTGCTACTGCTGCTCCACCCGTGTATCTACTCGTGCTGACCGTTATTCCCATCGGCGGTGCACTCTACATCTGCGGCACTCGCTATATGGACTACATGCATGCCGGGTGGGATATTCTGGGAGGGAGTTTGATTGGGATCGTCTTTGCGATTCTGGGCTTCCGGTGGTATCACGCCCCAGCTGGGCAGGGGGATGGGGGCTGGGGCTACGCGTTGGGTCCGCGGTCAGCGGACCATGCGTTCGGGGTGGGCTTGGTTGCCCCAGGGGAGTCTGAGGGTGATGACCACAGGCAGGTGGAGAATCGCGCGGGGTTTCTGGATGTCGAGCTCAACACTATCGATGGAGGCTCGCAGAGTGTGTTGCGGGTTGCCAATCCCTAGGCTGCTTGTTTTGGATTCGGTTTTGTTCATGTCCTATGTACAGTACAGTATGCCGTGTGGATCCTTTTGGTAGTCCGACTTGCGGCTCCTGTATGCTATTGAAGATTCATGCATTGCTCTTGCCAACAAGGATTCAGCAGATTATCTCTTTCGGTAGACAAAGGAACGTATCCATTTCGGACCCTTGCTCCAAGAATTTAGATACGTTGAAAAATACCGGGCGCTCTGACCCACTTCGGGTCTCCGCAATCCGCATTCAAATTTCTTTTACGAAATTCGAAGTGGGTTTGGACCCAGACCCAGTTGCCCCAGTGTGCAATGGGAATTTGGGGATTAAACCACGTGTGTGCCCATGCCTCGGATTTCAGGATCCATGAATTCAAGTCAAGAATCGAGTTGATACACCGTTGCTTGTTTGGGGGGAGAGGAGAAATTTGGCTTTCGGCCGCCCGAACTTCCGAACAAATTTGGGAACATAGATAAGGATTGAAGGTACTAGTTAGCAGAGCACCAAAAACGTATGTATCGTAAGATATCAACGTAAGCATTGTGGCTTAGACCAGGGCAGGAAGAGCAGGGAGATTGTATGGTGGGAGTACACTGATGTTCAGCTGCAGGATTTGGTTGATCGTAGCAAAAATAGATTAACGTTATAGCTGTTGCCTGTGTGAGCTGCTTCTCAGGGTATTCAGCCGGAAACCCTATCTTCCCCCCATGGGAGCTAAGCTTTCACCGAGCTATACCAGAATTGGTCTAAGATTGCAATGTTACAAGCCACTATCGTTGCATTAAGCAGGAACTCAGACGACCGTAAGCTACAGGTTGAAGAGAGATCACAGTTGTACTCGGGCACCCAGCGATAAATATTGAAAGTAACTACAATAGTGCTTCTTCAGAAGGCTTCTGAATAACGGCTCAGCACCGCCCATACACCTGGCAGTAGCACAGTGTTGAATCCGGACAGCTGAACAACCGCAACCCAGCTTGATTAGTACAATCTGCTCCAGACACGGGGCCCTCAAGGCATGACTTACTACACGGGTTCTTTGCCGAAAATAATATGCCAAAGATATTCCATCACCCGGCCGCTGTGCGCGTCGTCCAGATCCGTCTCGATGACCCATTGTCGGATCTTCACGTAGTCAGCCCGGGGTCTCTTCAGCACCCGCTGTCGGGACACCGCGAACTGCGCACAGCACGGCGCCGCAATCCGGACCGGAATCTGAAGAGCCTTTTTCCCGTCGCTCGGTTGGGATATCATGACCCCAGTGTTGTCGTCGTCGTCATCGTCTGCAGGCGGCGTGCTGGTATTTTGGAAGACCTCCCGGAAGATCTGAGGCGTCAGATGGCCGTGGGGGTATGCGGTCCTCACGCATCCCGGGTTCGCGTTGCATCGCAGGTTGACGTAGCCATTCTGCTGGACAAAATCAACCCGCAACGCTCGCATGGACCAGACGTTGTCGTGCAACGGGGCGTCGATGTGCCACGCCCGGAAAAACCCGAGCGATGCGCGTGCAGGAAGACGATGGTCGAGGGCAGGTGCTCGTAGTGCTCGACCAGATAGGTCAGATAGGCCATGGATTCGTGGCCCTTGTTGAGCGGGGTTTTGACCTGCTGGGTGTCGGCCACGGCTTCTTGGGAGGGGTTCACGGTGTATATGGCCCGTTGCCAGCTGGATATACACACATGGTTCAGCGATGCCTAGCTATTTTGGTGTTGATGCAGTTGGAGGGCGGGGGGTGTTCTAACTCACTCGGGTAGTTCTTGCTCGATCCAGTCGGTGTTTTCCTCCTGTAGTTTAGCGACGACTATCACCTTGTCACCGTAATCTTCTGTCATGTTCCTTGGCGGCCCTGCTGCGGTGGACCAAGAGTTGAACCAGTCGATGGCATATTGCTTTGCCTGGTATTGGTCGCATAGATCACGGAGATGGAAGTCCAGGAGAAGCAGGGGGAGGAGGAGTGCTATGCTGAAGCAGAGGAATAGTCGGAAGGGCCACTTCATGGTGATGTGTACGTTCCTAGCAGGACAAGAACTATCAAGTGACACATGAAGATTGGATAGAGCTTGGAGAGTAGAGGGATCGGTATGCTTGTTTAATATTCGTTGAGAACCTACCTTGTGGCTATACGGACATCTACGTATGCATACTTCAGGCTTCATCAAATCTATGATAGGCTTACCGAGCCCAGCACACTACACACTGTACATGATAGGAGACTGGTCAAAGGTTCCTCATGAATCTAGCCAAGGAGCGCCTGGCAGTCCCACCTGAACCGTACCAAGTGGGCACTATCAAGCTTGAATTTGTAGTGGTAACATATCCGATTTTGCCGGCAGTCAATGTGGCGAGTGAGCCATTTACACCTACCTAACTGAGACCTTCTGCTTACCGATCACTTGTAAACGCTATTTCACAGTATACGTACACGTCCTTTTGATGCTTGTCGGTTACCAGCCATACTTCAGAGACACGCGTCTGGGTCACCGTGGCGAAGGTTTCGGTCTGGTATTTTAATTACATCTCCGAAACCCGCAATACCGCATCAGAGAATTCAATACCCACAGCTAGGGGATGAATGAACAAACAAGACCAACATCCACCACCGGCAGGTCGATTTCTTATCAGATCTGACGGGCCTCCATCCCTTACTTCTGCACTTCACCGTGATGACAGTGTCTCGTGCCATCCAGCAAGCAGCCATCGCCATTTTGGGGCGGATGCTCGGACATCCGAATATCAACTGTCCGGGGAAAGGAAAAAGATACCTCTACGCCAGGGGGGCGTTGTTGTTGGTGCTTCAATGGCAGAATGGCGTCCCAAGTGATTCTGGAAAGATCCGCTGTACGTCTTCTGTCCGGCTTGAGCCCCAATTTCCTAGCAAGTTAGTGGCTTGGTGAAACTTTGCAATCTTCCTGTCTCCTTTCCATCCCACAAACCGCGACAAGCACAGATCTGACACCACGCTGACATCTATTGATGTCGTTGACAAGTGCGACCTCTGTCACTCCAGAAAGGTCAGTGACAAGATCGTGACACAAGTCATTTTACTTTCTTCTCCAGCATGTCGTCTAAGATAACAGCTGATATAGGTGAAATGTGACCGACTCGACCCTTGCATGAACTGCGTGGATGCGGAAGCAGAATGTCGAAGGGCTCGGCCACGGCGTAGTATGCGCCCTAGAGTCTCGCGGTAAGTCCCCAGACCTTTCGGTGAGCAGATCATTTGCTCCGAAAACGTCTGCGCTCGTTGGAATGGCTTCGGGTTGTAACACCCCATCATCTAGAATCTCGGGACTGTCAAAGAGGCTCTCAACACTGGAGCAATACATAAGCAATCCCCATGTTCCTGCGGCATCCGCGAGACAGGAGCCGAGTCGCGACTTCCAAGCGTCTGAAAACAACAGAAACATGATACTAGACATTCCCCCGAGCTCCCAGGCTTCCAACATGAGCACGCCAAAAATCAAGACCGCAGTCGATGATGTGGCTTCTCGACGACCCATAGAAACACCCGCTGCAGTCGAGGACATAGCAACGCAACAAGCCTGTGAGGCACGACGCTCCATTCAGCAGGAACTGCGACAAAGCAACCACTTATCCTGCAACCGACGCACCATCCTGGAAAGTGCTCTATCCCTTGTAAACAAGATATCTGCGCCATCGTTAGAGAAAGGACTGTTCCATGAGAATACCAAAGAGTCGGAGGATTCCAGTCATTCAGGCCTGGAGGAGTTCACCCTGGAGACGTACTTCATGATGTCAGAGGGTTTGTGTTCAAACGTGAAGGAAAATCCTACCCTCTCCCTCTAACATTGGATAGACATAGCACACCGAGATTCGCCCGGGAAGCACTTGCATTGGCCCGACCATGTCTCGGTCAGAAGCCTGGAACATATGAGCCTGTCTCTGGCTGAAGGCAGAGTCGACCGTCAGACATCTCTGCATTATCGCGTCTGCGTCTATACCAAAGCCATTCTTTTCCTCGCCCGTCTGCGGGAACGACAGATGAATGGGCGGCTTCGCAACCATGTTAGAATGACTCGTCATAAATATACTCTAGCAGCTTTCAAGGCTCTAGACCAGGTTGATTTGAGTGGGACGCACTCTCTATCCTTAGTTCAGGCTCTACTATCCGGTGTATGTTGCACGGCTCTTTTAATCATTTGCATGTAGCCATCCTGACCATGTCTCGAATAGGCATTGCTTCATCAGATGCAAGGGAACCCCACGAAGAGCTGGACGCTAACGGCATTCGCTGCGCGGCTGCTTGTCGCCATGAATTACCACAACATTACCAATGATACATCCGTTCGAATGCAGGAGGAAGAGGATACCCGCTTCTGTCTTTCCTCCTGCTACTTACTCGATAAGTCACTAAGCATGCTTCTCCTTCGACCGCCCTCACTTCCACGCCTGGGAGTAAGTCCTGTCGCACTCATCCCTATGGACGACGGCATGTCGCTCAGCACGATCACCAGAACTACGGTTGAACTAGCGGAAATTCAAGAGGCTGCATTGGAGCTATTATACAGATGGGCGGGGCCTGGGGATACAAGCAACCCTGCAACCGAGCTCGATGGAATGATTCAGCAGTTGAATTCGATGAAGATCGTGATCGAGGAGGCAAGCTGTTTCCTAGAAACTTCCTGCAATTTTGAGCTACAATACTGACCTCAATCAGCGCCGGGCAAGCTCCAGGCCGGAATTGCAGCTAGATTGGATGGCGGTGGAATTCCGATATCACGCGATGGTGACAACCATACTACAGTGCAAATCAAGGATCTGGGGCACGGCTCAGAACCGGGAGGAATGTCTTCAGCATGCGCGACATGCGCTCGAGGCTTTGAGCCGTCTGCAAACAGTTTTCAATGAGGACAGTGCCTTTGTTGGTGCTTACCCGATGTTCTTAACCTGGTGAGTAGAGCTCTTCCTCGTGACTGTATGCTGTATTCTGACGAGGTTTGACTACTCCAGGACTGTTTTCTCTTACCCCATGACTCCTTTCTATATCTTGTTCTGCAATGTGGTTGGGACGTCGAAAGTGGAAGACTTCCAGCTGATGCGCGACACCACCAAGGGTCTTTATCGGTTCATCGATCTAAACCCTGCAATCGGCAGGTTATACCACTTGTTCACTCAATTTCTCGTCCTTTGCAGTCCGCTTGTTGAGAGGGAAGCAGAGAGTACCAGTCCCTGCTCTGTCCAGCAAAACATGAACCTCGACACTGAAGAGCCCAGCGTCCCAGTAGATGCTGGTACCCCCATACTCAGCACGGACAACCAACTTTACAATGGCTCGGCCCAGGAAGGAACTGGGGGTACCAGATCGTTGGATACGACAATGCGACCAGAGATGGATTCGTGGTGGCACAATGCTCAGATGTGGGAACTGTTTGGCACTCAGCCTTCGCTCGAATGGGTGGATTCTGAGATCACCGATTTTGTGGCAGATGGCTATCCGTGACCAGGAATTAAAGACCCAATATTAGAATCTGCCTACATAGATCTTTTTTCCCTTCTAGAGGGCTATGTGAAATGTCCTCTGTATGTTGTGGTAGTTAGCATGGCTGCCTAGAGTTTCGTGCGGGCCAAAACCGGCAGCAAGCACCTTGACCCAGCAGGCCGAGAGTAAAAATACACAATACCGATTGCTTCCAAGGGTCTCTTCAGGCAGGCCGCGTCAGCTCCGGGGAAAGACAAGCTTTCGGCACTGAGGCTTGGCTCCGACCCATCGGTATTGTCAACGTACCACACTTTACCAACTTGATGGCCTCGCATCCTTTATTCTCTGCTTTCCCCCCCGAACGATCTGCTCGACATGCTCCGTTAATTCCTATGCGTGTGGATCACTACAGACACTTCCCAGCAATGTCTTTCACCCAACCATATACTCCAGCTTCTTCCTCTAGGGCCATCTCCATCTCACAGTCGCTGGACATGGTGCCTGAAGAAGACTCTGAGATGGATGACTCGCAATTCGAGACTCTACCACTAGACAACTTAAAGAAGAAGTCAACCAGCAGCGGGCGATTAATAAGTCCCCTCAGACTGTTTCGCAGTCTCTACGCTCCAAGGACAAGACCTCGTCGATTCTTCCCTGCACGCCCGCTCTCCCGAAGAGCGCGAATCATCCAAGCCTTGCGGCGGCTATTCTGCGGCGTGGTGTTCATCCTGTGAGTGTTGCTCAGCCTCACTCCCCAGACCCAATGTATATCTTTTCAAACCAACTGACACGGGATCCTGCGCCAGCGGCACATTCAAACTCGCCTCCATCATCTGAAACACCCTAATCTACTTCTTCCCCGACGACCTCGACGCCCGCCTCGACGGCTGGCTCGTCCCCGGCGGCCGGCCCTCGATCTTCTCGCACTGGACGACGCACGGGGTCGAGCCGGTGCACTGCCACTCGCACAACGACTACTGGCGCGAGGAGCCGCTCTACTCGGCACTGCGCGCCGGCTGCATCGGCGTGGAGGCCGACATCTGGCCGTCCAACCCCGACCTTCTGGTCGGCTACACGCCGTTCACGCTGCACGCCGACGTCATCCTGCGCCGCCTCTACCTCGACCCGCTGCTCGACCTGCTCCAGAAACACAACACGCGCAGCAGCCAGCTCCAGCCCGCCCACGGGTCGTCCCCGCCCGCGGGCGTGTTCGCCACCGACCCCGCCCAGACCCTCGTCTTGCTGATCGACTTCAAGACCGCCGGCGAGGCGCTGTAGGAGCCCGTGCAGGCGCAGCTGCAGCCCCTGCGCGCCGGCGGGTTTTTGACTTCCTACAACGGCACGGCCGTCGTCGAGCGGCCCGTCACCGTCGTCGCCACCGGCGATGTCCCCTTCCATCGCCTCGTCGCCAACACGACCTACCGGGATATCTTCTACGATGCGCCGCTCGACCAGCTGGAGGGGACTCCGCGGGCGTCGGAGGGCAGGGGGGTCGAGGATTCCCCTCCGGATTCCCCTCCAGCTTTGTCGGAAAGCGACGACGACGGCTACACCCGCGCGAACAGCTACTACGCCTCCGTGGACTTCCGGCGCACGATCGGGAGTCTATCCGGCAATCGGTTCTCGGAGGCGCAGTTGGCCCGCGTGCGCGCGCAGGTCGCCGCCGCGCATGCCCGCGGCCTGAAGGTGCGGTACTGGGGCACGCCGGGCTGGCCGCGGGGGTTGAGGAATCATGTTTGGCATGTGTTGGTCAGGGAGGGGGTCGATCTGATCAATGTGGATGATTTGTATGAGGCGACGCGGCAGGATTGGCGGAAGCATCGGAGCTGGGGGTTGTGATTGGGTTTTGTTGGAGTTACATCAGACTGTGGATCTACTAGTTTTGCTCAGGGCGTATGCTCAATGGCTCTCTCTCGGACGGATTTTGGTTCTAAGTAGAGATCTAGCGTCGCATGTCAATAGTGATGAGACTTGTCTTTGGAATCGGACTGAGTATTAGGCATTCATCAAAGTGATCCTGATTTCCCTCTCAGTCTTTTTCTTTATTTCGCCTGCAATCCAACCAGAATGCATGCTATAATCAGCCACCCTTTATCGAAGTCTGGACAGCAGACGTTCGTCAATTGGTCATGCCATGCCCTAGCGCAAAAGCACAAGAGAAGTTTTAAACTTTGTCACCGAAACCCGAGTATCAGACCGAAACGCCGCGTATTGTAATAGCCGTTTCGGTCTTTAACCTCGGGATATTGAGCCCGATCCCGAGATGTGGGCGATGCCGAGATCTAGTTTATTTACTCGGTCGACCGATCTCATCAAGAGCCTTTCCTTATCAATATTAGCACATCCGTACCAGCACGCGGCTGGCAAGAACGTAAACCTAGCTAAACTCTCCACCTGGGTTGTAGACATGACGGAGGCAGTGATCGAGGCTTCTAATGTCTACATCTGTGTTGGATTTTCCGAACCGAACCAGAGGCCGCCGATAATGACCCAAGATGCTCCTGAACTTCACGCCCCCATGGGCACAAGGGTCATATCAAACCTCATGCTGTGACTGCGGGACCGGAGCTCGCAGTACCGTCCCCCAGATCAACAGCGCAACCGCCAACATCGCCACTAAGATGGGCTGCAGGACTGTCACTCCCTTGGCCTGTGCGATCGCTCCGATCGCGAAAGGGAAGACGGCACCCCCGCCCATCGAGAACGCAGCTGCAAACCCAATGGCGGCGACATGCAGGTGCTTGGGCAACAACCGCGTCGCAACCACCACAACGCTGGGGAAGATGGTTCCCAAGAAGAATCCCACCAGGGCCACGGCTACGGCGGAGACGACAAACTCCGGAACCAGCCAGAAGACCATCTCCAGCGCAATGGCAAGCAAAATGTACAGGATAATCGATCGTTTCTCGCCAATGCGAGGGGTGACAAACCCCAGCACAAAGCGGCCCAGCGCAACGCCGAGCCAGAAGCCCGTTCCAGCCATGCCCGATGCAAAGGGGCTGCCGTGGCGGACACTGGTCATGAATACGACGATCCACCCTCCGATTGCGACCTCGATGCCGCCATACAGAAAGAGAAAGAGAGAACAGATCCAGGTGGCTCGGTACGTGAGTGAGAGTCGGGTCTGGTGGAGAGAGCTGCCACCGCCCTCTCGGCCCGCAGAAGAGGGGTGATCCTGCTGATACCTGGATGCAGTCTCCGCCCAGAAGGCGCTGGTGGCACTGACGAGTTCAAGCGCCGCCGTCCCCGTCTGGGACTTGCACATTAGAGATGGCAAAACAAGACACAGAGCCCGTGCGGAAAGGACCTGCTTTTACCTACCAGAAGGTAATAGTATGAGTTCCACTCCCAGCCAGCTTTCGTGATCACGCTAGTCGCAATCAGCGGACTCACTGTAGCCCCGATGCCATAGAATCCGTGGAAGCATCCGAGGACTTCGTGAGAATTGGCCATACTGCTGATCCACACGTTCCACCCGGCATTCTGGATCCCGCTACCCAGCCCGACAAAGATGTACATGATCACCAGCAACGGGAAGGGGGGACGTGTGGAGATGACGGCAAAGGCAAGCAAGTGACATGCTGGGCCGATAAACGCCACGCCGCGACGGCCCAGGCGCTGGTGGATCAGATTACTAACGACCGCGGAGATAGTGTAGCCCAGGAATGGGGACAGGAATATAAGGGAGATTATAGTATAGCTCTTGTCGTAGGCGAGCTGGAGCTGGGAGCATGCAAAGTAGCCTGGATTAGCACTGTACTGACCATGCTCTTATGGGCGCCGAGAAGGCGGAGGTACAAACGTAAGGGATTATCGCCCCATATGCTGCATCATTGGCGCCCATGACCAGTGCGCCCCAGAAGGTGGCCAGTACTCTCCAGATCATAGTCTTTGACCCGTTCCATCGCAGGGCGACGGTGACCGCGTGGGAGGGCGGGGTGTCATTCTCGGGAGCGGGGCTCGCGGGAAGAGATGCAAGGTGTATAGCACTGCCAGACGAGACGACCGAGGGTGGGCGAGTGGGATCGAGATTCATGGGCATGGTAATGGCCAACTCGGTCTTTGTGCAAGGAAATATCCCGAATCTAGTTGGTGGTGATATGGGGATGTGGGAATTTGGGAATTCGAGAATTAAAACATTTTGAGAAGTATGTCGGGGGGGAGGAGGGGAGAGGGGGTGTCCCGTGTTGCCAGTTGGCGCGGAGTTAACTTAAGGCGATGGTCTGAGCACTACGTACTCCGTACAAATGCGGCTAACGACAGTAAGCAGGTCATGCAAGGTGTGGTGGGGTTTTTTTGCTACAAGTAATTAATGTCAGATTCCGATGCGAGTTTCTACACCCTCCCTACTGCCTCACCGTACCAGGTTTATAAAAGGCCTGGCTGGCAACAATAAACCAGAAAAAAGAGGGACGACAACTTACAGCAATGGCTGGTAACCTGCCACAAGAGGTGGAAGCTTATCTCGAGGAAATAGTCAAGCGTCTGACGGAATACCTGCAACACCAGCTCGTGGGGATATATCTATTTGGGTCTGCGAGTTATGGCGCCTACGAGTCCGGCCTCAGCGACCTTGACGTACAGGCCATAGTGACGGATCGGCTGAGCACCGTCGAGAAGCAGGCTGGCAATTCATTGTCACGGGCGAGTTCTCTTCCAAATCGGATGGGGCCAAATGGGCCCTACAACAACAGGACTGTCCGGACGTTGTTCGACGGGCAATCCTCGCGCGCAACACAGGCGACAAACTCCCTGCGGCCCAGGCAAGGATGCTCTATGATATTGTTATGACGGCCAACCGTGCCAAACTCGCGACGAATATATAGCTTGACTTGGGCCCCCCAATCCATGGCAGCAGGTAAGCCATCGGGGTCATAGAGCAGGGGTGGACAATCGAGATCTTTATTTATCTATACTCAGATTTTAGGCCAGTTCAAGAGTATGCGAACAGATGATTTATTGGGTCTTGAGGAGATGTGGTGATGTCGAATGACACGATCTTCCTGCGCAATTTTAATAACAGGATGCTCAGGACGTTCAGCTACTTTAGCAGTTTTGGTTTTTCTTGGTTATGGAACCAATATTTGACGTTGGCCGGATCGAGGTTCCTTACCATTCAGCAGTGGGTTGGGTTTGTTGCTGGTGTCTTGGGTAAAGCATTTCAAATCAAAGAACCGTATAGAATATTACTCGAAGCAGTATAACCGAGGGCTCTGAAATGATAAGTCTATGACTTGATATACAAATCATAATTCTACATTCATACTCTGTTCACTTGAACTGCAGGCTCGCTCGCTCGCTCGCATAGCTTGCTCGGGCAGTGGCAATTACATTAGTTACTACCTTGTCGGGTGTAGTCAACCAGCTTCTACACCAATCACCAATCCACCCTCCAAATCAAACCCAACAACCAGCGATACGATTCTAGATCTCGATCTCCATCGATGGCTCGATGGCTCGATTCATCCCTCGATGACCCAAGATCCCGATCGATCTTTCTTGCCTGGCTTTCTTGCATTGTGATTGAACATCCACCTCCAAGTCAGCAGGGATAGCATAGCACAGCACAAGAAGACAAAGGAATATGGCGTGGTCGATCGAGAATCCGACACGGGATCGAGATGGGCGATCGATGATCGGGATCGGGTTCGATGAATGACGATATTCTCTGTGCGGGCCGTGGCGTTGGTGGGCATACTCGGTGATGTACTGAGTACTCGGTATTCTTTTGCTGGGACTGGACTGGACTGTGGCCTGGGTGTTGTTAGCAATTACAAGGACTATGGAGTACGGAGTAAGGCTGCTAGGATGTGATCTCCTACGGAAGACCATTATAGCCACTCAGCAGATAAGAAATCTACCGGCAAAATTATAAGTAGAAGTATTATATATATATAAAATTTTTAATAACTTTAATAAAAAAGAATAAAAAAATTTTTCTAATAAAAATTTTAATAATAATATTTTTAGTCTTTAAAAATTCTAAATATTCTTATATAAAAAGAGACTGAATCGATTATATAATGTGAAAATTTCCAAAAAAATTTCAGAAAAATAATAACTGCTGCAGTAAGAATATATAAAAAAAATTCTATTTGCGGAGTGGCTGCAATGGTCTTCTATAGATAGGGGTTCCGAACCATCTATACCCAAACAGGTAATAATGTTGCGGTTAGTGCTTAGTACGCATGCTATCCCAGTCTCAGCCAGAAGGCATTTGTAGTATATGTTTCCATTGTAGGTGGTGTTCTATCGCATGACTATCAAGAAGTTTGTCTCGGATGGATGGCATAGTGCGGGGATGGTCTTAGCTTGAAAGCCTCTTATAATGCACAAGCTACTCAGTCCTGCTTGTTTCCAACTCCAACTGGGAGGAGGGCGATCATCGCAAAGACTGGCCCGAAAGAGGAGAGAACATGCGAGAGATGGTACCAGGATAGAATTGCAACTCAGCACTGATGCTTAGAGCACATGATATAGATCTTCTGATCGGCGACACCATCCATCGGGCAGAACTTTGACTGGGACATAAATCATTTGTCTCGACTAAAGCATTGTGTGAATAACGAGATCAGCCACAAACCCACTAGCCACAGGAAGTACATGGGTTGGGCCGCAGCAGCCACAGATGCCAAGCTATGAGTAATTATCTCGATCAGGTGATACGTGGCCATCATCTCGGCTCAACCATAATCCGGCTCCTGAACGGGGGCAATTCCTCCGACTAGTTCGCATCCCCGAAGAGCACAGCTGGCCCATTCGCGTTCCACCCCATCCAACATTCTGTCCTCAATCCACCCTTTCCACTCATTGCACCACCACCCCCCAAATCATCCTCCTCACACAGTCACCATGTCCGACCAGGTCCAAGAACTTCTCAACGTGCCTCGCGAGTTCCTCCGCGAGGGTATGCAATTCGTCAACCGCAGCCAGAAGCGTGAGTCTCCTGCTCCCTCGTGACCTCTCACCTCCGTGACTCTTTCTTGAAAGCATTTGGCTAATGCGCAACACAGCCGACAAGCGCGAATTCATCAAGATCAGCCAGGCTGTTGGCACTGGTTTTCTCATCATGGGATTCATCGGATACATCGTCAAGCTGAGTATGTGTCGCCTTCCGAGTGTTGCGGCCCCGTCGGACATTGTCAACACCAGAGACTATAGCTAATGAACGAATGCAGTCCACATCCCCGTCAACAACGTCCTTGTCGGTGGCGCCTAAGCGATTGCCTTTCTTCGGGGATTGGTTGCTAAGTGGTCGTTCGGATCACTTCCCAAGCGGCATGGGACCCAACCTGCGGACTTGAACTTCGACCGGCTGTCTCGGGCTCATTGCTTCTACTGGGGAATAGCAATTGGTGGTCGGAATAGAGCGGGGAAGATTGGAAACGGGTCATCTTATCGTATTATACCTCACCGCGCGAGTCTTGGACTTTACAACAAGCGTCTTGATGTCTTTTCTTGTCGCCGGGCCGGGGGACGCTGTCTGGCCCGAAGGGTCGCGCGGCAGCTTTCTCCGCGGGTGGAAAAAGGAAGCCGGTCGGTCTTCGAGAGATCGGGCTGACCGGCACATGTGCATAATCAATCTGGGTAGGCGTTTATGGGGTGCTCTCTAATGAGAACTTGGTCTTTCTATATGTCTATGCTCGCTTCAGACCTGCGAGTGATCTACAAGCATGAGGAGTGCTCTAATGTGCACTGTCACGGTCGAAATCGCCCCCAACAAGCACTTGATAACTGGATTCGATAAGGGGCATCCCAAAACCAGAGCTCTCACAACACCACAATAACCCCCCTCCCCAATGATAAGTCATACAAGATGATGTCACCACTTCCATAACACCAATTGCTTTATCTCATACCAATGAAGTAGGCTTCAAAATAAAAACCACAGTAAGAAACCCAGGAACCGACATAAACTCGAACAAAATCATTATCCCACCTTGTCCAAACACCCAGCCACCCAGGCAAGCCAGTGGATCCCAACTGCCGACATCCGAACCCATGCTTGACTTCATCATCACCACCACCACGGCACACAGACTCCACCCCAGCCCTGAACTACGTAGCACATCTACCTCACCAAGCTCCAGGGACATAAATCCCCCCTCCCGCCCCTTCACCTCCGCAATACTCTTCCCCGAAAAGCTACCGATAACCCCCAAAAAGATGGCTCCCATCTCCCCACCCCCACAACTCACCCACCTCTTCACCCTCCGCTGCGCCGTCGACCCTCCTATGGAGATCGGCCACGGCCCCTACGGCCGTCGCCGCTGCGTCCCCATCAAATCCGGCACCGTGCGCGGCAATTTCCTCAATGGGGAGGTCGTCCCCGGCGGGGCGGATTTCATGTATGCTTTTTGCCCGGCCCTCTTTCCCCCTCCCCCCTGAACCCAGTTTGCGCGACAGAATTGTCTGGTATTGGTGAGTTGAGTGGATGGTATGGAAGCTGACCTGCGGAAAAAGGCTCGTCGAGGAGGATCAAACCACGCATGTGAATACCAACTACGTGATTAAGAGTGATGATGGGGCGTTTATCTATATTCGGTAGGTTGCGTTCACAGTCCTGGGGTGATCTCGCCGGGGCTGCTAAGGCGACGATGTGCGAGAGGCCTGTTTTGAATGGAGAGGGGTGGGGAGAAGGGGTTGCTTAAGAATAATTGGGCAGGCTGAGTCGAATGGCTGATGCTGGACTGCAATATAGGACTGAGGGAACCCGCTCCGGTCCTCCGGAGGTCTTGAAAGCTCTCATGGAAGGCGATGATCAGGTTGACCCCGACCAATACTGGTTCCATTTGCATATCAAGTTGGAGACGGGGCATGAGCGGTACCGGTGGATGAACAATAGGGTCATTGTGGGGAGGGCGACGCGCGCCAAGGGGGAAGTTGCGTACGACGCATATTTCCTGGACAACAACTAGTTCAACTCATTGCATTAGCGGGCTCGGATATTTGACTTGGGGGTTTTGCGCGAATTCTATTCCGAATGAGATAGAATATAATGAAGAGATAAGATTTATGGTTTAGTTATTACAATGAGTAACATATATCGGAATGATAAGGAGTGAAGAAGAACTAGGCGTGGAAATTGCGCAGCAATTCCCCCAAATCAATCCCCTCCGCAGGACTCGCTTCCTGGCGAGCTAGCACCTCTTCTGCGATCTGGTTGACCCAAAGATACTCTGAGTGAAATCCACGCAATTCGATCAAGCGCTGGCGCAGCCAGTCGCGCTGAATCGGATCCTCGGTCTCAATTAGTGCCATCAACAAGGGCCAGTGTAATCGACGTAGGAGACGGGGGTCCACGGCGTATTGCTTGTGTGTGTTTTCGAGAATCCCCGTCAGAGCCTGGCGGTGGAGTGCAGCTGGGGCCTGGCTGGAGCTGAGTAGACGGCGGTGAAAGAGAATGAGCGCGTAGAAGTTGCTAACAGCCATATAGATTGTGTTTAACGTACGGCGGGTGGAGCCGGCCCCGGAGATTTTAGCGGTAACGAGAAGGTCGGAGAAACGCTGTGTCTGGGTTTAGAAAAGAAGCAATGCAGAGACAGTGGGAGACTTACATCGCGCACAGAGAGAATCTCGGTGTATAACGTATCGGCTGTGTATGCCGAATCTGCAGGATCGCCTAGACATTTCCAGGCCTTGTGCCACAGTATGAAGCCAGTGTGAATCAGCTCTAAGCCCCGGTAGTTTTCCATATCATCGGCGATTTCTTGGTCGGGGTACTGCTTGCCCCAAAAGCAACGACTCCAAAGACGTGCGCTTCGGTGAAGTTGGTCTGGGTGTAAAGCTGGTTTGTTGGAGTTGAGCACGTAATCTGTCAGTGAATCATTTGTTGTCGCGATAACTCGCCGGTTGATGTCGACGTATCTGGGAGAAATTCAGAATTAGCAGAGAGTATGAGAGCACGGATAGAAGGAACTTACATGATCCACAGAAGAAATTGTTCGGGAATGAACGACACACGAGAAGATACGTCCCCAACTGGGGGATCTGCATCCATTGACAGCATCACCTCGTCGAAGTCCTTGGACTCAAACAGTTCTGGGTGTGTTTCGAGCAGGGATCGTACTCCTTGGAGATGCAGCTGTAGATGACGCAGACAATGACCGAACTGCCATTCGTAGGCGACCATGAGAAACATTGTCGCGAATATCATTTCCATCTCAGCAAGTGAAACCTGAGGTTTGGGAGTCTCCAACATCTGCCGAAACTCCTTTACGGCCATGCCATAGTGGAAGCGGCCGTGGTCTTCCGCCGTGGGGCGTCCTGGAGAGCGCACAACCAGACCATTGCGGTACATGTCACTCGCCGACAGCGCCAGAATCATGCGCATAACCACTCTGCTGACGCGCGCAGGCCCCTGGTAGAGGTAGCAGAAGCTGCTCCACTGCCAGTTCTTCATATAGTAGAAAACGACGGAAGAGGAGGGGAAGTACTGGAAGTATTTCCGATCATGTTCGGTTAGTACCAACGCGTTAGAGCAGGGAAAATCAGTACCCGACAATGAAGGATAGAGGGGGGGCGTCTGAGTATAGGCCGGGTGATATACCGGCCAACTCGTGGGGAGGAAGCCGTCCGGGGAAGCCGGGGAGAAATCCGGGGCACATCCGGGGGCCGGGGGCCACAAAGAGGCCAACGTGTTGGCATAGTGGGCATTAAGGATGCCAACTGTTGTCCCAATAGGAGTAACAGGCGCAGGCGCAGTAATTAGCGTAGGAGAGCTAGGGGTTATCGCAGTAGTCGTTGGAGCGACATTAGCGGTGGTTGTGGTGGTGATCGGATCGCTGCGGGTGGGCGGCGGCCACCGGGGCTGCAGATGACGGACGGGCGCATTCTCCCCGGTTTTCCCTCCTCGTTTAACAGGAATCCCCCACTCGCATGTAAGACGCAAATTAAAGCATCGCTTGCACACCGGACGCTCCTCACCACATTTCACTTTGCGACGGCGGCAGGTGCTGCAGCCTGTGAAGCGAGGTCATTTGTTAGTTCGTTCGGTTAGCAGGGAAGAGTCGGCAGATGCCGCATACCATTCTTCGAGCGAGGCGCGTTCCGACCCGACATGGAAAAGGTCCACTCAGTGATGAGATGAACCGATCAACCGGTAGGCATCAGTTAGATCGGGGGGGTGATTAGAAGAAGCCCAGAGGAGCAGATCGGAAACGATGAGCTTGTTTCTTGTTCTTGTTACTTTTTCCGATCGGTTAAGGCACAAGAGAGAAAGTCAGTCCGGAATGTCAGGGAAAAAATCAAAGAAGAAGAAGAAGCGAAACCGGGGAAGGGAGGCTTAGTCAGCGGTGTCCCCTTCCCTCGACTCGAGCAAGCAAAAGAAGGCTGGAAAAGCATGAGGTAAGTGGAGTGGAACTATTTTCTTGGTCGGGGGGCAGCTGAAGAATTGGTTCCATGGAAGAATTCATCTCCAGCATCTCTTCCCCACAACCCAGACCCAACAGGCCTGCTCCCGCTGTCTATACTTGTCAGTCATATAACTATACGACTATAGCCTTCCGGATGTTTCACTTGACTCGCTAGCCTCTCCTGTCAATGACGAGGACTCTATCAACCGAGTTATTGATTCATTGAAACGACAAGCACTACAGTCGATCACCACCAACATGGAGTGATTCCTTCTCTCCCCCCCCGCGCCCCTTTATCTGCCATCACTGCCACTATTGTTCTCGCCACAACTATTCCTCCACAGCCTGCCGCCACTGTTGCTGCGCCACTGCAAATAGTTCGTCGTCTGTCAACATATCCCACGCGATCAGTGCCAGCGACTTCCCCACAATCACAGCCTCTTCGTGAGCCGTATCCGTGCCCGCCGCAGCAGCAAAGCTGGGATGGTGAGGAAATGAGCCTGGCTCATCGGTAATCCCAAACATCGTGTGAAGTGTTGGCACAAGATAACTGACATTTCCTGCGTTCCGGTCAGCATCAGACGTTGCATTGAGCATTCACGACCAACCAATGTCCGATGACCCTGTTAAGACCTTCTCATGCTGTGCCAATACATTTCGTCCATAGCGGCCCATGTGCGCTTGGTATCGGTCGCATAAGGTGTCGTTAATCTTGATATCCGTGTAGAGTTCATTCCTACCACTGTCAACATGTTTTCAACCCCCAGGAAAGACATGACCTTACTCCAGGATGTCCACTTCACAACCGGTGGCCATTGCCCCAGCCTCGATGCAGTTCCGCACTTTGCCCATCAAGGCATTCAATCCTTTCAAGGTCGGACTTCGCACCTGCCAGTACGCTCTGGTTAAAGCTGGAATCACATTCGCCACTTTTGGTGTGTCCAGAAAGGCAACATGGACCCGCTCGTCCGGGTACATCTGTTGGCGTAGAACGGCCAGATTGTTGTACGAGGCCACCAAAGCATCTAGTGCGTTGACTCCCTCCCAGGGATTACCTCCTGCATGGGCACTCTTGCCTCGGAAGGTACAATGAATCTCTTTCCGCGCGTTCATCCGAACACCTCCCACACCATCCGCCACAACACCTGGGAAGAGCTCCCGGGGGCCTGCATGACTAGATGGGTCAGTGGGATGAAGCCGTCAAGGCACCAAAGGGAGAGACTTACGCCATCAGAGACACATCAACAGTTTTATACGCTCCTGCGTCTATCAATTTGGCCTTTCCTCCGCCATTTTCTTCGGCCGGAGTACCCAACAATTGTGTCCGTCCCGGTAGACCATACTGCTTCAACACGGCGGACAGGGCAAGAAATGCTGCGACACTGCTAGTAGTGATGAGGTTGTGGCCGCAGGCATGACCGATACCTGGCAAAGCATCATACTCTGCATTGAAGTTGATCAGCCGCCCTCCGGACCCGCTGATCGCCTCAAATGAGGTTTCTAGTCCGTATGCGTGGCGAGTTACGGTGAAACCTTGCTTCTCAAGGAAATCGCAAATTACATCATGCGCACGATGTTCTTCGTATGCCGTCTCTGGATTGGACCAGATCTGTCAAGGTCTAAGTCCGAGAGGATAATGACAATATGGAGTCATGCCCGTACGTACCGTGCGATTGAGCTCACGAAGAGGGCCTTGCAAAGATGCTAGTGTAGCATCGACAGCTGCCTTCACTTCCTCTGCTGTTGGTGATGATTGCAGGATAGCCATTTCGAATGCTTGGTTGGTGTTTTAGTGTCTTCTTTGCACCCCGGATGCTGAAGACGGCAGTTCATATATCCTATTTGCTATCTGCGCCACTCTTGCTACGCCAACCCCTGAATCTTACAAACCACAACCAACAATCAATGCAATCCAGCCGTAGCCTCGGCTGATATCATTAAGCCCCGCGCAATACGACGATGCTTGAGATAGTTTATCGTGATAAGATTGGCTGGGTGCCATCATCCGGAAAGTCTGACGTCGGCTGTCTCGCTTCCACCCCGCATTTTCGGGAAACTCAAGGTTTCCCGCTATCGGGGTTTGTTCTTGGTCAAAGAGATAATATGGAGCCATTGACAAATGATTGCGCTATCAATATCATCACCAGGGTCTAGATATGCAGGATAAGCCGCATGGCGTATACCTACCCAATCGAGTCTATCAGGTGGCCTCGGCAGATAACAGTAGCCGAGTGGAGCCTGGGCGGGGATGATAGACCGGTTTGCGAACCAGAAGGTTGGTGACTTGGTGTGCCACGCGCCTTGTCCTTCATTTCTCCGCATGGGATCGGGGACTGTGGAGGGGCGGTGGAAGCAGGTTGGAAAGGAAATGCAATTCCTTTCGCGCTAAATGGCACCGAGTAATCTATTGAGTGGAGACTCTTTGCCCCAGGATTACCTGCGGATTGGTACAATTGCCGAGCCACTCCCGGCAATTGGTACAACTGCCGACCGAGCCCTAATGGCTGTCCCAGAAGGCAGCCGAATTCGGCGCCGGGCCCTGGGGTGTGCCTGCTTGACCCACGAGTTTTCCCCGTCGTTCCCTGACTGGATCTGAAAGCGACTGACGATCGAGCCCACAAGAGGCCAGCTGGAGAGGGGTCTGAGCTACAGATTATGCTATCTGAGCAGCAGCAATGTTGATCCCGTGCCAAAGGGATAGCTTTACGAGGACGTAGCTGACATCTACTGCGGAAGAGATTTCTCTATCTAGCGCAGATTAACTTTCTGGTGGCGGCGTGAGTATCACAATGACAGGCGGAGTATATAAGTCTGGGCGAGAGACGCCTGTGTCAGCATGCCGTGGTTCTCTCGGCCATCCCCATTTCACTACCCACAGACTGTGACGCCATGGAGAAAAAGCCTACAAGCCAACCTCAGGAGGAAAACCTGGGGTTGGAGGGGGTGAAGTTGGAAGACAAGATGCTGCCTCGAGATGTCGACCTGGGACAAATGCTGGAGTTCGAGGCTACGCCGCAGCAGGAGCGACAGGTTCTGCGCAAGCTGGATCTTGTGTAGGTTGTTGCTATGGCCCTCTGAATAGCACATTCGTTAACAAGAGCCAGGCTTATACCGCTGATGGGTGTCTGTTACATGATGCAGTATATGGACAAGCTTGCTTTAAGCCAGGCCACGCTCTTCAATCTTCGACAAGACCTGGTATGTCCACTCTTTTGTTGTGATCGACCCGTACTAATCAGTACAGCATCTCGAAGGCACAGAATACACTTGGACGTCTGCAATCTTCTATTTCGGATATTTCGCCTGGAGTTGGCCCAGTTCCTACCTCATCGTACGCTTACCGATTGCCAAGTACATCAGCGTCTCAGTGTCCGTTACCCCTCCTTTCTCCTATCTCCTTTACAACTCTTTTCTGATGGATCGCTAGACTCCTCTGGGGTGGTGTCTTGATGTGCCATGCGGCCGTGAAAAACTTTGGAGGGTTGATGGCCGCTCGGTTCTTCCTCGGTGTAGGTGAAGCAGCCATTGCACCAGGCTTCTCGCTCATTACAGGCATGTTCTACCGGCGTGATGAGCAGCCAGCTCGGTATGAACATCCGAAAGTCAGATAGCACGACGTTACAAAGACTGATATATCGATACTAGGCAATCTGCCTGGTTTCTGGGCAACTGCATTGCCACGGTCATCGGCGGCGTCGTCGCCTACGGCATCGGCAACATCAAAGTCCACTCCATCGCCAGCTGGCAGCTCCTCTTCCTCGTCCTCGGCGCCATCACCGCCTTCATCTCTTTCTTCCTCATCGTCCTGTTGCCTGACTCCCCCAAGAAAGCCATCTTCCTCACCAAACCGCAACGCCTCATTGCCGTGCAACGGACCCTCACGAACAAAACCGGTGTCGCCGATGAGGGCTCCTTCCAATGGCACCAAGCATGGCTGGCGGTTCGCGATCCGCAGACCTGGTTTCTCGTGCTATACACCTTCTGCGTAAACCTCTGCAACGGTGGCGTCACCAGTGTATGTGCATACCCTTCCTCGCTTCCCCTTTTCCCCCACAACACCCTTCCCGCAAGCTAACACCAGCACCGCACCACACAGTTCTCCTCGATCATCATCAACGGATTCGGCTTCTCCCAAATCCGCTCCCTCCTGATGCAGATGCCCCTGGGCGCCGCGCAGATCGTCTTCCTGTGCCTGACCGCCAGCGTGGCGACCTTCGTCCCCAGCACGCGGATCCTGATGATGATCCTGAACACGGTCACCTCGCTGATCGGCATGGTCCTGGTCTGGCGCCTCGACGACGCGAACCAAGTCGGCCGCCTCGTGGGGCTGTCCCTGGGCGCCGTCTTCGCCGTCAACATCCCGCTCTCCCTGAGTATCATCAGCTCCAACGTCGCCGGGTTCACGAAGCGGAGCACCACGAGCGCGCTGCTGTTCATCGCCTACTGTGTGGGCAACATCGTCGGGCCGCAGTTCTTCCTCTCGTCGGAGGAGCCTCATTATCCGGTGCGTTTACATTATCCTACCGTTCCCTTCCTCATCCAGATTGTGCACGTACTCGGTTTGCAGAGGAACTGACTAACACATCACATAGACCGGCATGAAAGCCGCCATATCGGGGCTGGCCTTCGGGGCCTTTTTCCTCATCTGTCTGCTGGTGTATTACGTCTTTGAGAATCAGCGACGAGATCGCTCGTACGGCCCTCCGGCCCAGATGACGGAGACTGAGGAGTTGACGCTGGGGCTGTCCAACCGGACGGATTTGGAGATTGAGGGTTTTCGATACGTCTTGTGAAGATCCTCAATGCTGAATGGAATCAGATTGATGCCTTGACTATGAATTAATGTAACGATATTTTTTTGATGGATTGTGTTCATGTCCTCCGCTTGTATCTCACGCCGTGACTGACAAGTAGGTACTTGGAGAAGACATCCTCAGCGAAGTCGTCGAACGGCTCGTACACCGCACCTAATCGGTAGGCCGCTGCCATTCCGGAGATGCATGCGATCTCGTGCATATTCTAGTGAATCGGTCAGCTTCCTTCGAAAACTCTAAGCCTATCAGCAACAAAAAAACATACCACCATGGTCCACGCCCCGGCATACAATGTATTATTCTTCCCGTTGATGAACATCATCCCCGGCACGACGCGCAGGTAATGCTGCCAGCGGTGACCGAACTGATGCCACCACTTCTCGCCGATGATCTTGTCCTTGTCGATCCCCTCCCACGTCCACAGGTGTTTGTGGTCCTCGTTCAGGAAGATGGTCTGGTAGACGTGGCGCTCGGGCTCGGGCGGCAGGGCGTCCTCGCCGATCGCCTCCCGGAACTGATGCTGGTAGTGGGTGCAGTCGAAGCCCATCTCGATCTTGTCCGGGTCCGAGTCGAAGGAGTGGGTGAAGTACATGGGGGCGAAACCCTCCCAGCCGTCCGTGCGGCAGCGCGGCGGCATCTGCTGCGCGAAGGCGATCTGCTCCTGGCGGGTCTCGGAGCTGGCCTTGCCGCAGAGCTCCTCCTTGTAGCGGGTCTCGAACAGGCTGTTGAAGTACTCGGAGTCGGTGTGCGTGATGGTCAGGTCGTTGAAGAACTTGACGCCGTTCAGCACGTACCGCTCGCGCCAGGTCGCGTGCGCGCCCAGCATCGACAGCGCCTCATCGGCGGGGCAGCACAGGATGAGCTCGTCGAAGTCCTCCACCGTCCCCTTGCCGGCCTCGTTGGGGCGCTCCTGCTGCCCGTCTTTCACCGACCGGAGGCGCAGCTTGACTTGTTTATTCTTTCGTTGCAACACATCGGCCTCCGTCTCCAGGAGCACCCGCACCCCTTTCGCCGCCAGATCCCCCTTCCAGTCATGGTAGAACTCCCCCAGGTTGGGGAATGTGTACATCTGCGGCCGGTTCTGCATCAGCATGTCCTCGTCGTAGTCCCACAGGCGCATCTGCGGATCGTCGAACAGCCGCTCCAGCAGCACGCACGCCACGTTGGGGGTCTGGTTGCCCGTCCCCAGGAACAGCGCGATCAGCGGCAGCACCATCTTGAGCCCGAAGTCCGTGCTGAAGCGGAACAGCCGCAGCATCGTCTTGATGGGCATCAGGCCCAGGATCGGCATCAGCCGCTTGATCCAGCGCAGCACGCGGCCCAGCTTGCTGATCTCCGCCGAGTAGGTGTCCACCAGCGGGCTGGGGAACACGTTGGTGAAGAAGCTGTCTCGCCCTTTGCCGAAGGAGACCTGCAGCTGCACGGGGTGCGGCTCGTAGCCGTACTTCTTGAAGAAGTGGAAGGTGTGGCGGAAGATTGGGGAACCGCCTTGCACCCCGTCGTTGAGCCAGGTCGCGCCGCCATGCTTTGCGGCGTCTAGGGGGATTGTGGTCGCTTGGCCGCCGGTCTGCGGGGCGCTGTCGATGAGGGTAATGTCAAATTTGTCGGGGTGGTTGGCAAGGGTGGAGGCGCAGGACTTTTGGGGTTTCAGTGAGGTGTTAGCGTGGGTGTGTTGGGCTGCGGTGATGGTGATAGTGATGATGATGGAGACAGGGATGCGGAGATTCTTACCATGCCGGCGGCCCCGGCGCCGATGACCACCACTCTCTTCTTACTGTTATCATTCTGAGCCATTTTGAAGGCCTATACTAGGTTTTGAGAAGGTAATCAGATGAAGGTCGCTCATCAAGAAATGCATCGGTCTTGACGAGATGTATATCTAGGAGGTGAGTCGATGACGTCAATGCTCGGTCGCGGAGTATTCATGCGCTGTTAATCCATTAAGTCATCCTGAAGGCATGATTAGATCGATTCTCATCCCGGCTTTTTCAGATAAGGTTTCGGCGATCCGATCTCGATCTGCTTGGTGTAGCTCGAGTTCGTGAATGATCCTTCAGTGTGGAAGTTCTGTGCCGTCGTTGTTCAAGGTTATTTCAGTAGCATTGTTTCATTGTCCAAAAACTGTCTCACATAATCCTGCGGGAGTGTTGTCCATGATGATAAGAAACTCTTATCATTCTCAGAATACCAAATCTGGTTCTAGTTGAGCCAGTTTGGTTTCAGGTCAAAGCTCTCTCCTTTGGAATTGTTGAATGCATGAATAAACAGCTTTGCAAGGCTCCCAGTCCTCAGGCCCCGACCCCGCCTCGTTGGCAGTGTTTTAGAGATCGCTCAAGCAGGAGTTTTTGCTGCGCAACTAAGTGTCTGTTTGTATAAGAAGGCGACTTCTCACAGAAACCGAGTCGGCTTTATGAGTGGGGACGAGGTTTGCTGTAAATACACCTCAGGTGGTACATCTCCATCGATGCGGCGTCGGTGAGCAGAGGGACACAATGACTACCTCCTTGTTTAGACAGCTCGCAAGCGAAGAGGCTAACCACTGGAAAACAGACCGCTACATCATAGCATTTGCGAGCTGATCACATCTAGTGCACCCTTTAGCATTTCGCAAGACAACTCCTAGCACTCCGTTCTTCGGAGACGCTGTGACGACAGATCAAGGATCGGCGTGTCCTTCATCCATCAGGGTAACAGAAGATGAAAAGCTGTAGGTCTGTGTAGGTTTCCGAGGATGGCTTGGGATGTACCCAAAGTTGGCACAGGAACATCGGCCGACACTTGTGGGTTTGGGGTTCGTCAATTCCGATATTGCTGGGGTCAGATCTGTACAGTGTCCAGTGCCAAGAACAAGACGTAGATGAGATGAAAGGATACTGAGATGAAACAGGCCGATGTACAGGACAATGCAGCTGGTAAGATGGTAGGAGGTGGAGGATGGAAGCGGCGTGAGGTGTTGGAGCGGGCCAACTTGGAAGGTGGACAGACCTGCCATTTGTGTTCTTCTGGGCGGAAAACCAAGTACCGCTTGGACCTCGGAGAAAGAATCACGATGGAAGTAGGATGTCACTGGACTGACAATGCTCTTTCTTCTTTGATATACTCATGCAGCTATCTCGTGCTCATTATCAGAGGGGTATGAGGTAGCCAATCCAGGGAGCTTGAATAGACATAGATGTAAACAGGTACAGTGTCTGGAGGACACGATATGGAAGCTGGGATATGGTTGAAGAAGTGGTGGCGCATGAGCAGAACAAAGAGGATCTACCGGAATCTCTCCGCTACTGGTTGATCAATCAACTCAATAGTTCATTTTCATGAAGATAAATTAATCAAAAACTAAAGATTTTGACACCTTGGATGCTGTAAAAGAAATTCATTTCGCATACACTCTGCAGATTGCTTTGTCCTCTTTGAGTCAAAGCGACTGGTCTGCCGGTCAATTACCCATAACAATTTATATCTGCTATTCGTCTTTCTTGTTTGACTTAATCTCATGAGCTGGAGATAGATCTTCGCAGCGGATGGATATGTGCGGTATGCTGCTCGTGCATGTGCCAATGTATAGTACTGCACAGTCCTGTACCAAGACGGGGCACTATGCTTGGCCTGACAGCTTAGTGTGTGGCCTCTCTGGTCATGGAGGCGCCGTTGGAATCGACATATAGTGCCGCAATCATCACAATAGTCTTCAATCACGGCATGCAATTCAAAACGAGGTATCTCCAACAAGAAAAACTCCCGTGGAGCTTACATGCTTGGTCGACACGGGTCCGCTTGCATTCGATGGTAACTGTCTGCATGTCAAATGAGTGGTCGATCATGTCAAGTCCATTATGCACATGATCTAATGTGCACCTGGGTTGGTGCAGCATAATCGTTGGGCGACGAAAGTGAAATTTGTCTAGCCTGATCGATCCAAGACTAAAATATCGTTGATGGTTGGCATTGAAGGTGGAGTTCAGTTGATCGTCGTGCCCGTCTCCATCTTAACGGTCGCAATTGGTCGTCTCCTCTTATATGAGGTAGCACTTTCGAGTAACAAAGTCTGAATAGTTATAATCATTATCTCGGGGCTTCGTATCGCATGTCGGTCCCACGGGGCTGGTGGGCTGATTGTATAGCATTGTCCCTTAATCGTGGATCGGCTTCCGAAGCCGTGGAAAATAGAAAAGAAAAAAGACAATGACGGCGAGCAAGACAACCAAGGTGGGCAAAAACATGAATGTAAAGAGGAAGACGCTCAGCCCGAAGGCAGCATTCTGGCCCGGAAAGAATCGACGAGCCATTAGGTCGAGAGTGGCGGCGAGCATGGATACGGGGGATTTTGGCCAACAGATGATAAGCGCTAATTCTTGTTCCACAAGTTGGTGGTCTAGCGATAGTGGCAAGCAGGGATGTAGAGAAGATCGACGGCGAGTAGGAGAATTAAATCGCTGATGGTTGAGGTAGCCAAGTGTTTGGTGGGGAGAGTGAAGCAGAAGTGATGCGATCGCGGGTTGATGGTGTGGTGTCGATCCAACAAGACGGTGATAGTTAAGCATTTATAGACATCAACTCAAGGTCTCAAGGTTGCCCGGGAGGCCCATCCGGCGCAGGAAGAAAAAGCTTTGCTGGATGATGTGCAGTTGCAAGGTTCGATAACGATCATGGATTGGAAATGAATATGCCTGTTGAACCACCCAGAGGTCCAAATTGGATGATGAGTGAGGGATCCGCGGACCGCGGTCGGAGTGGAAGGAAGTTTCCAGAGATGGGATGATTGGAACTAAACAAATTTGAGGTTGGACTGCCGCGATGCAGTGGTAATGACCTTGTATCGTAATAATGGATGCCTGCAAGGTGGCTGCATTATCGACACCAAATGAAGTTTTCATTGGTGGTGATGGCTGTTGCCCCATGTGGCGCCACACTCAGCTATCTACTTTTGGTCTAGTGGTTCTATCAATGCTGTTTCGGGATGACGCAAGGAGTTCCAGTTTACAGTGACCCGTAGTACAAGTTAGTAACTTACTAACAGTACCGGATCACGGCGGTTTGACACAGGCAGCAGGAATTCCTTCCAGAACAACTGAGCCACTCTTTCCTCTTTCCTTGCGGTCGCATTGCGTCGATTCCAGATAAACTCGAAGCGTGGAGTGAAGACAAAATCTACCTAGTATGCAGAATTATCTGAGTGGGTCAATGGAGTAGATGAGGATTGGAACCTTGGCTGGCTAGAGTACTCGTACTGTACCTAAGTAGACTGGTAGAGTGCAGCCCTGCGTAGCGCTGAGAAAAGTGGCAGGGGCGGAACCATTGGCCACATTGCCTTGTAGGGCTGAGGCTAGTACTGGCTGACCTTGGCGGTTGGTTTACTCGGTATTATCATTATTTTTATCATCAAGTCACTATCATTTCTCATCGTTTTTCAACTCTGTCCTGTTCAAAATCACTTATTAATCCACAGTCATGGTTTAGTGCTAAATATCCAAAGGCTACCCACCACCCACTTCATATTCTTTCTTAGTCTCTTCAGTTCTTTTCTCCTTACACACACTTGCTTCTTTCCCCCTCCCCCCCCATCCCTTCGCTTCCCCATTTCCCATTTTGCTCCTCTTGTTTTTCAGGTGCCCCCATTCCCCCTCCCCCCTTCTTTCTCCAAACACACGGAGTGTGGATGCATCCGTGAGCCTCCCCCACCGCCGCGCGGAGATGAGGCTATCCCACTCGCTACTTTGACTCCCCGCCCACCATCGATATCCTTTCGAATCTCGATATCATCATCCCTTCCTTTGATATCTTATCTTCCTTTCGTCCATTCTCCTCTGTTACGACCTCCAACCCCCTCCGATCAACTCGAGATGGGGCTCTTTGCCGGTCATGAGCCCGTCGACCAAGCCGAGCTGGATAATTTCGGCGTCGACTGGGTCATCCACTACTCATTCGAAGATCTCGGTAAGGAGTGTACCTCAACCACAACCATGATTAACAACAACAACAACGGTGGCTCACAGCCACCTCCTGGTGCAGAAATCTCGCAGGCCATTTCCGAGTTTCGAACTTTGATCCACGACTTGGAGGAGGCGCATCTGCAGGTCCAGGTTCGCCATGGTTACGGACCCTCCCTGCTGGTCTTCATTCGCGTTCCCCCTGATCTCCTGGGGAACATGGTCTACAAATCTCGGTATTTTCTTTGAGCCTGGGGCACCCCACCCATCCCACTCACCCACCCTCGCATCGGACCCTAATCTAACAATCGCTTAGAGTCAAGGATTGGTTACACGGCATTATCCATGAGTTCCCTGCAGGCGACGATCACACGGTGGTTGAGTCTGAGACAGCCGCGGAAGCCCTCCGGTCGGTCTATCATGCGGTGACTTGGCAGAAACACTTGGGAGGGGCGGGAATCACCCCCAAAATAGGCCAGTGGAAGAATATTCAGGCTGCCATCCCTCTCCAGGACCGCGCCGCTAATGCCGAACTCTTGCGCAAATGGAGTAAGACGCTCAATATTACTACCGAAGATCTCGACGCTATACGGGCGCTGTTTGGTGAAAAGGTAAGCACTCTCTTTTATCCACCCCTCGTTGGACTTGGACTTGGACTTCCTCCACGCGCTCGCACATAGATACTGATCACATGTGCTGAAAAAAACTAGGTCGCCTTCTATTTCGCCTTCATCCACTGCTATTCCACTTTTCTCGTCTTCCCTGCCGTTTGGGGCGTTTTCTGCTGGTTCTATCTGGGCCCTTATTCCATCACTTGCGCTCTCGTCAACTGCCTCTGGTGTATTATCTTCGTCGAGTACTGGAAGACTCGCGAGATTGATTTGAGCCTACGGTGGAATGTTCGGGATGTCGGAATTCTCAAGGTCAATCGACCGGAATGGGTGTGGGATAAGGAAGTCCAAAACCCCGTTACAGGGGAGACAGTGAAGGTGTTTTCGACGCAAAAGCAGTTCCTCAGGCAGCTGCTACTTATCCCCTTTGCGACCGTAGCTGCTCTAGCCTTGGGCACTTTGATCATCTTGTCATTCGCTTCCGAGGTATTGGTCTCCGAGATATATACCGGTCCCTTTAAGGGCTACCTGGAGTTTCTTCCAACCATCTTGTTCTCCCTCTCGCTGCCGTGGATCACCAATACGCTCACCGAGTTCGCCAAGCAGTTGACCGACTACGAAAATTACCGCACGCAGGACCAGTACGATGTCGCCCAGACTTCCAAGACCTTTGTCATGCATTTCATCACCGCCTTCCTGCCTACCTTGCTGACTGCATTTGTTTACGTGCCATTTGGCACGAAGCTGGTCCCTTATCTGGATGTCTTTCGCACTTATGGCCTCATGTCTGCCAATCTGGCCAAGGAGATTCACATTGATCCGGCCCGCCTTCAGCAAGAGGTGATCTACTTGTCTGCAACCGCCCAATTACTCAATTTTGGCGAGGAGATTGTGCTTCCCTACGTCAAGCAGACGCTAATGCACAAGTGGCGCACCTATCGCGAGGGTCGCGATGCCGCTCGCATGCCTCGTCGCCATTCCCAGCGGACAGATTTATTACTTGTCGATGCACCCGAAGAGGCGGCATTCCTTGCGCGTGTGCGCGATGAGGTGGAAGCGGACGAATACAACGTCCATGACGATACTTTGGAGATGTGTGTACAGTTTGGATATCTGGCCCTGTTTGGAGTGGCCTGGCCCTTAGTGCCGCTCGGATTCTTAGCCAACAACTGGCTAGAGCTGCGAGGCGACTTCTTCAAGCTCAGTTTGGAGTGCCAGCGACCCCCGCCAATTCGGGCGGACTCGATCGGCCCGTCTCTGCAGGGACTGGAAGTGCTTGCCTGGCTAGGAACTCTTTCCACGGCCGCGGTCGTTTATCTATATCGTAATAGTATGGAAGGGGTACAATTCTCCTCCTTCCTGCTAACCCTGCTTCTGGCTGAGTGGGCGTACCTTGGCGTCCGGTTTGTGGTTCAGACTGGCATGGAAAGGATTAGCTCTGTAACCCTCAAGCGGGCAGAGGCCAAGCGGTACGGCATGCGCAAGCGCTACCTCGAGGCCACGTCAGGCAATGTTTCCCCGCGGGGCAAGCCGCGGGTCCGGTTTGAGGACAAGGTCAGTGTGTACACCACCGGCACCGATGTGAGCACCAGTAAGGAGGGGCTTTTGCAGCCGGGACATGATGGTCTGCACCATGGACGCCAATTCTGGTCCTGGGCACCTCAGGAGGCTGCTGATGCTGGTGTACGCATGATCAAGGCGTTGAACACCACGTTGGACGGGTCGAGAACTGGGCCGACCAAGCTGGCCAAGGGAGCATAGGCGTTGTATTGTATTTCTTAGTCCCCTCGTTGTAAATGATGAACTTCCTCTTTGTTTTTGTTTTTTGTGATGAATGAGTCTTATCTTTGTAGTGTAGAGAAGTATGTTAGGGGGGAAGTACCTACTACCTTACTGTGCATGGGCACCTTTGAAGTGGCAGGCTGCAATCTGCACGGGTGTCTACTTAGTTCCCTTTGGCTTTTCCCCTCTCCATCGGACCTGATTTTGAACCACCACTACTTGGACCCCTGGAATATTTCTCAGATGGAAAACGCCATTGATCTGGATTATCTGATCGCATGATTGTGACAATTGATGAAAGCTAAACAGCACTCATTGAGTTTTTGGAGCTCGTGGGTTGAACAAGCGTCAGCCCTATAAGGCATGCCAAGTGCGGATAGTCCCAGTCGACCAGCCAATCAGCTGGCCAACCGACATTCCGGACTCCATTCTTGCCCGCTGGTTTGTTGCGCGTCTCTCTTTCCAGCTTCTCTGCCAAGTTCCAACTTCTCTTTCGTCTTCCTTCTTTCTCTCCTCTTTCCCGTCCAGCTTCTTCATTCCCCCAACCACCCACATCTCCTATAATTTCCCCCTTCTCCTATATGCCATCCCTGGCGTCCTCTCTCTCTTATTCCCCTTCCCTCCTTTCCCTCTCCCTCTCTCTCCAGGGCTGTTCCTCCACCGCCGGCTGGAGGGGCTCCGTCTCCTCAGGTCTCGCTGCCCCCGATGCGCCCCTCGCAGGACACCCTCCCCCCGATCGTCTCCGATAAGGTCCTGCATCACGAAGAGCATGAGACGGGCTCTCTACCCCCAGCCTCGGTCACCCTCTTACGGCAACGACGAAAACTTCACGTCATCAATCCATTGTGGTACCGCAACAGTCTGCTAGCGAGCGTGGGGTTCCTGGAGTTCGCCAATGCGGGTGACTTTGCCGCTAATGTGTGGAACGATGTCCCCGTCCCGTTATACGCCATTATCTTCATGGCGATCGGAGGCCCTCTCGCACTCTTGATCAGCGGGTTTGCCGTCCGCGACAGTGTGCTCAGCTGGCAGAACGTCCGGATCCTCCAACGAGAGCGCACGTACCTCAAATCCCTACAGGCCCAGCACCTCGAATGTCCCGCACCGGATGCCACCACACTCCGTTTCATCGACCGCCGTCTGGGGGTCAGCCACCGCGAACTGGGCACCGAACTGGTCGATCGCATCGTCATGGACGTGTTCCTCGGGATCGGCGGCCTTCTGGTCGGCACGGGCACCATCATGGCTATCTGGGGCTCCGACCGACACGTATACTTCATCAGCAACCTGCTCTCGGGGTACGTCGGCAACTCCTTCGCGGCCATCTACGGCATCATCAATGCCATCTGGTCCGCCTATCTGGTCTGGCGCTTTCACAGCTACGAGTGCGCGTGCTCCCGGTCGGGGGCCATGCTCGCCCCGTTCCGCGACCGACTCCAGCGTCGCTTCCAATGCTTCAAGTGGCACGCCGTCGCGTCCGGGTGGACCGGCCTCATCGCCGGTGGCGCCTCGATGATGACCTCCCGTCTCTGGGAGGGCTACGTTGTCCTCATCCCGTGCATGCTGTTGGAGGTAGCCTGCAACCGCTTCTGGCGCGGTCAACTTGGCTACGACCGTCCCATCGTCGCCCCCGACTCTCCCCTCCACCGGGGCATCTTAGTCCCCGAGTCTCCCTACAACCCAGCCAGCAGCAGCAGCAGCAACAGCAACAGCAACAGCAGCAGTCCGCAACTGGGTTACCCCAAGCCGACAATCCCAGTTCCCGACCACAAAACCAAACAGGGCGCCACCATCAACCCCGACGAAGAGGAAAAAGAAGAAGATCGCCTACTCCTCGACGCCCTCTCCTCCGTAATCAGCCTTCAAACCGCCCTCATACCCGTCCTCCCCTCCACCCTCGTCCTGGAAGACGTAGACTGGACCTCCCTCGACTCCCTCTTGCTCTTCATCGTCAACAACCACCTGTTCGACTGCCTCTGCGACTGGCTCGCTACCAACTCCGCCGTCCCCAAGGACTTCCGTCACCGCGTCTTCCGGTTAGCGACCAACCCATCCTTCTCGGAGATCACCGTCACGTTGACCGATCTCCGCCATCTGAGCGACGTAGAAGATCGACCCCGCATGCTGGAAATGTGTCAACTCTTCTTGCAGACCGAAGCCCGGCAGGTGATGATCGGTCGCGAACGGTATCTCCTTGAGATGGTGGGTTATACGATTTGGAAGAACGATTGAACCCCTTTCCTTCTTGGTTCTTTGCGCCATTGGGACAGAATCCGAATATGCAATCAAAATCACCCATAGACTGGGTGTGTGTCGTCTTTCTGCATGTCCATTTGTATAGAAAATCAGCGGAAGCGAATACCTGCTTGTTGTTTTGTGCTTGTTGAGCATAGCATATATATTCGTGTTTGCATTGTTGAGCGATGATGAGATAATGCGATGTGATGTGATGTTGACCTGGTGCGATGCTGGGTTTGGCTAGCTTTGGACTCGAATTGTGGATCGTGAGGTCGAAGTGAAGTCTGGGACTTTCAGTTTAATGATCTGTTTCATCTCGAGTTGAGTCGAATTCGGTTGATCTCGAATCGAGTCGAGTTGAGTCGAGTCGAGTGAGGAAGGAAGGGTGCCGGTTCACTTACTTTCTTTCGGTGGGATGTCTTGGTTGATGTGCTCGCTTGAGCGTGAGCGTGAACATTGGCATGAGCATGAGCATGAGCGAGACCTGATTCTGATTCTTTTTATATAGATTGAGTTATAATGTGTATCTTGATCGGTACTAAGGTCTTCTTCTACTTGGTTAATCACTTTACATGGGGAAGGCGTAGGATCCTGGATAAAGCGGATTTGCGTGGGGTTGAGGAGGGAATTCCAGCCCCGGGGGTGGCGGGGGGCCGGAGTACGCTACTACTCATACATAGCAGGATCGCTTGGAGTTTTGGGGCATACCATCAGCCTGGATTGTATGCGATTGAGCTTGGAGGTGTAAGTTGCTCTACTGTACGTAATTTGATCTGACCTCCCAGTGAGTGTCATTGAGACCTCTTGTATTCCTCTTTTGGCGGCGTTGTATGATTACTTTACTTTGTGATGCAGGAAGTAGTCTTATTGCGATACGGATTGTGATAGCTGGAGGTGTTGTCACTTCTTTCTCTCTGACTTCCTGTGCTGGTGGGTCTCATGGATATGTCCGATCTTCACCAATGTAAGCTTACCAGTCGATAATTCATAAAACAGCAACCAGTGCCATCCCCAGAACCTGAGCCCTTCCTCCCTAAAAGCTAAACAGCCCACTGCGCCGCTTTCCAAAGGGGTACACCACCAACGCGGCGACGAACAACCCGACCGTGATGCCGATCGCGACCTGAATCATTCCGAACCCCAAGATATTCGAGGATTGAGAATTCTGCGATGACGAGGTGGTGGTAGTATGGTTCTTGGTGACGTTGGAGCGGATCTGGTCGGCCGTGTCGACGCCGGTGATGAGGCTGCCGGTGGCGGCGAGGCCGGAGGGGACCAGCACGAAGATGGCCGGGAGGACGGCGGCGGCGGCGTGGCCGTGCCAGAGGCGGCTGTAGAGGTTGCCGATGACGCCGACGACGAAGGCGCCGACCGTGTTGGCGACCTGCGAGTTGTTGCCCAGGCGCGCGGAGACGAAGTAGTTGGTGACGTAGCCGGCCATGGAGATGCTGGTCATCACGGGGGCCTGCTTCCATTTGCCCTGGTTGACCACGAGGAGGCACAGCGAGAAGAGCGCGACGAAGGGGAAGCGCTGGAGGTACGGGTTCCTGAAGGCGCCGGCCGAGGGGCAGCTGAGGCTGGAGGTCGCCGTCTTGTCGATCAGCCCGTAGATCGTCGTGCCGACGGTGACGCCGTAGCCCAGGAAGAGCGAGTAGATGATCGCGTAGACCATCCGGATGGACCCGGCGACGATCTGGTGTGATTGCAGCTCCAGACTGCTGCACAGCACCGTGTAGCCGGGGAGGATGAGCGCGATCGAGGACTGCGCGATGGCCGAGAAGCAGAAGAGCCGGCCCGCACCGTGCGGGCGATGGATGCTGCCGAAGGCTCGCGCCAGGAAGGAGGTCAGCACCGCGGCCGTCACTTCGAAGACGTTGTTGTAGAGCACCGAGCGGGGCGCGATCACATGTTGCATGACCCCGAGCAGGCAGCCGTTGAAGAAGATGATGGGCATGTCGATGGGCCGCGCGCTGAATGCGAACGGTCCCACCATGGCCGTGGCGAGCCCGTACACAAACACGATGATCCATTTGTTGAACCGCGGCTTCTTCGTCATGAGCTCCTCCAGTTCGCCGGTGGCCTCTTCGATGCCGATCACGTCGTGAATGACGTTCTTATACACGTTGTGCGTGTCGGAGAGACGGCCTAGGTTCACGCCTTGCACCACGCGAACGAGCTTCACTTCCGTCGTTCGGGTGCTGGGGTCATCGAAGGCCATGATCATGCATCCCGGGACGTACAGGTACTGGCTCTCGATCTCCAGCACTTTCGAGGTCATCAGCATGTATTCTTCCAAGCGATGAGTCGGGGCCCCGAACATCATCAGCGCCTTGCACAGCTGCATGATGTACCGCTGTCGTGCGATGATCTCGGCGATGCGGAGAGTCACCTGGATCTCATCTTCCAGTCGGAAGCTGCGCCGCCGAGAATGCTTGTCGCGGCGCCTTGAGGCCACGCCGAGAAGCTGGTTCGAGATCGGAGTGCTGGCGCCACTATGACTGGCGGCCCCAACCAAGGTGGACGTGGACATGTTGGGCGGCTTCTTGTACCATCGCGGCTTTCCCTTGCGAGGAGTGGTCGTCCCAGGGGTGCTTCCACCGAACGGAGTCCACATCCCCGAGGGCATGTTGAGTCCCCGAGTCGATTTTTGGATCTGATCCAGACCCCCGCTGAGGCGTAGCAGGTGCGACAATATCCCGCCGGTTGGTTGGCTCTCAGTGCCTGTTGCTCCACCAAGTTCGTCTGTATCATCTGGAGGCATGTCGATTGCATGATGCAAGGCTGACTCGCGGCGAGTGCTCCGGCGACGCCCGGTATCGTCGTGCGTCAAGCCTCGGATGATGCGGTGCGCTTCCGAACTACATGTAATCTGATCCTTGACCTCTGCCTCTTGATTGATTTGCACATCCGTGCTGCGACGACGGTAGTCGATCGGTTGCAGGTCATCCTCGCCTTCTGTTGGGCGACCCAGGCGAGCAGCCCAGTGGGCGGTCTTCTGTTTGACTGTATCCCGAAAAGCTCTGAGGCGTGTCTTCTTTGATCGCTTTTCTGCTGTGTTGAATTCACGAGATGGTGATACCTCAAGGTCCTCCGGCTCCCATCTATAGCCAGCTGCAGCCCGTGTATTCCGTCTCCGAGGTGCTTCTGTGATGTCTATTGATGGATGTGCTGACGAGCGACGCCGTAGATGAGATGATGTCTGGCTTAGGGGGCCGACCCCGGGCTGCCAGCCTCCGTACGAGAACGTTCTATCTGCCCCGAAGTGAACGCGATGAACCTGCGCAGAATGCGGGCTGCCCAGGGAAGTGTCACTGTCTGAGCTTGCATTGCGCCGATCGTCCGGGTCCGAATGAATTTCATCCTGATGCTGCACGCTGTGATAGCTGATTGGGGAAGAGGAGCCACTTGACTCGCTACTTGATCTCTTTTCCGACATGGTGGCTACTAAGCTGTAATTTAGGTTTATTGCGTTAGTATCAGCCAGTCGAGGTCATAGAACTTCGATGGATGGAGTGAGGATTCCCCAGACAGTGCTTGAACAATCAGGGAGCCGACACCCTGCACAAAGCACAAGTCTCCGTTGAAGTAGCAGTCATCTCATTGATTTTGCAAGACTGGGTATGCTAAGTGAAAACCTCAGTGGGAACATCTGGCGGCTGAAAGAACAGCATGATAAAGGAATTGTCTCACGAAACATGATCATGTTGCATAGAGACTCATAATGAGACGCAGATGCCTAGGACTGTCTTAGAGTGCAGGACAACGCTTTACCGATACGGCAAACGTCATGCGCACCAAAGTATTGCTGGCAGTTGTCCGGGTAGAAGGCGCGAAGGTAAATGTAACCTTATCCGGAGTCGATGACGCAGTTCGATTCCAACAACTTCTCGGCATCAGTTGGCAACAGTGGGGCCAACCTCAGGTTTGAAGGCTGGGTAAGTACATCTCATTCGCTCAAGGTGAGCTCAGAACAATGTAATAAGGGGGATCTGTAGCATGCTAGACCTGTTATTCTTTACTGCCTGAGGCAGAAGGTAGCCTTCAGACTAATCTAGAACTTCATACACACATATTCACCGGCGGCGAAATAGCATGCAGGAAGTCAAAAAGGATCTAGAATGTAAGAGATACACCGAATGAAACCCTTTTGTGAAAGGTATGTACTGTAGGCAGTGACCGAAACGATTGTCCATGTCAGGGAAGTCAAACTCGGCCTGAGCACTGTCACTCGTGTTTTGAGAAGGGATGGCTGTGACGATCTCTCTGCATACTGTGGGGCAGGTTCTATAGTATAGCTTGAAAGAGGGAATAACTCATGAGTTCAAGAAATGCCAGAAGTTGTTTAGATATGGCGAAGGATGAACTAACGAGATAAAAACGTGGGGAAGATAGAGGCGGATGACTAATTATTGCCTGGTCGGTCAACCCCGCCGATTGGCCAGATGCCTCTGGGACTTTCCCTTGTGCGGCGTGGCGCCGGCACCACCTGGCAGGCAGTTCCACAACACGGCGGCGTGTTCTGGACTCTGCAACTTCTCCACGATTAAATCTTGTAATCTACTCGCATTTCTACGCGCAATACTCATCCCCAATACTCATCCCCACTGTGATGGGCTCTCCTACCAAACCATACCAATGCCAGCGATGCCCCAGGACATTTGCTCGCCTAGAGCATCTTCAGCGTCATGACCGCTCACGTATAGACCCTCTTCTATCATTCATTCCATGATTTGAGATGACAAATTCAATTGACCCCGAGGCGCAGATACAAAAGAGAAGCCGTACATATGCACCAAATGCCCCAAGTCATTTACCCGCAAGTCAGTTACCACCGATTCTCTTCGATACTCTTCGATTTTGACACTTGAGAATCTCGCTAATACCTTAGTAGAGACCTATTGGCGCGTCACGAACGCCTGGCTCACAGCAGCCCGGCCCTGGATGCTACACCAACAAGCTCACCGCAGCCTGCTTCTCCTCAGGTTTTCGACGGACTTAATGTTCTGGCATCAGCAGTGGCTGGTCGTCCGCTTTCGCCAACTCCTCGGCAGGGTCAGCCGATAACTACTGCTTCCCCAGCATCCTTCCCAGTGCCGTTAGCGGACACGGTTCCAGGGCATACGGTCGCAAACTCCCAAGCGGCGGCAGCAGCGCCTCCTGAAGCTCCTGGGTTTACCGAACCTTTTACCAGCTATGGCCAGTCTATCTCCCATGATGGGGATGACTTCACCACTTTCCTAGATAGCATTCCGCTTCCAAGTCACCCTTACTCACCCACTTACCAACCACTTCCTCTCTTCCCTGCCTTCCATTTTGACCCAGCAACTTCGGAATACGGTCACACCGTTGCGAAGGACAAGTCAGTCAATGACATTGGCTCACCTTCCACACCTGTATTGCCTCGACATGGAACGCAGTTGCCATCACTCCAACCGGACAGGACTCAGGCACCCTATAAGGCTCGTGAGCCTAGTAGCCAAATATCGATAACGACGCAGTGCAGGGACCGCATTATTGCAACTCTGACAGACTATGCCAACGTCGTCCATAAACCGTTTGTCCCGTCGCGACACGCCTTATCCCGCTGTCTTGGTGGGTATATGAATGGTTTTCATGACCACTATCCATTTTTGCACATCGCCACGCTGGACACGGATGCGACTCCCGTGCATCTGCTTCTCTCTATGGCTGCTTTAGGAGCCCAGTACTGCCGCGAGCCTGACACGAGCTTGGAACTATTTAAGGTTGCAAAGGCCGTCACTCTTGAGCATGTCCGGAGAGAATTCCAGTGGGGTTGCTCCACTCACCAAATGGCAACTCATGTCGATAAGGCGGTCAGAGATCAGGATATCATCGAAACCATTCAGGCATTTCTCATATTGATGTCCGTTTCATGCTGGTTTGAGCGCGATCCCCCACATCACGAGGCTCTTTACATGCGAAGCGTCATGGAAACTCTTCTCCGACAGGGGGGATTAAACGAGCTGCCGGCACAGGATGGGACTTGGGAGAGCTGGATCCGCAACGAATGTGTCAAGAGGACGAAGCTGATCGTCTTTTGTTTTTTCAGCGTGCATACTATTGTGTTTGACATACCGCCGCTGATCTTGACTGAAGAGCTCACTCTTGACTTGCCTTGCACAGAAAAAGAATGGAATGCGACGAGTGCGAGCCAGTGGCTTATGGATAGAAGCCAAAGCCGCGGGGAGCCTAAGCTACAAGCTGCCTTGAATGCACTTTTTCCACAATCATCTGGAGCCAAAGGTCGCCTGGAAAGCTTCTCCTCAATGGGCGGCTATGTACTGATCCATGCAATGATTCAAAACATTTGGTTGATGCAAAAAGCCAGTCGCCTCCCCGTCTCCAATGGTGGCTTCTTATCACCAGCAGTGATCAATTCTCTAGAACAGGCGTTAGAAAACTGGTGTCAGTGCTGGGAACACAACCAGGAATCCTCCATTGATCCTTTCAACCCTCACGGTCCGCTCTCTTTCACCTCGACAGCTCTCCTCCGTCTAGCATATATCCGTCTCAATGCCGATTTCAGCTCCGCGCGACGACTACAAACCTGGAACCCGGATGAGATAGCCCGTTCCTTGAAGGATGAGTTATGTGTGCAACGGAGCGATAGACTTACTCGCGCCGCATTACACTGTGCTCATGCGCTCAGCACACCCATCAAATTGGGCATAAACTATGTGGCGCACACTCTTGTCGTATCCTGGTCCAATCAGTACGCCTTGTGCTCGCTTGAATGTGCCGTTCTACTGGCCAAGTGGCTAGAGGTGGCGACGGTCTCAAATCCAGAGCCGAGTCTGACTGAACAAGAGAGCAAGCTGCTTGAATTTGTTTTAGAGATGGTCATGGAAGTCCAGCACGGGGTTTCCCGCAATTGGCTCCTGTCGAATAACACAAGACTAAGTGCAACTGTGACAAGGCTCTGGGCGAGGTTGTTTACAGGAGATTATATATGGCAGCTGGTCAACCTAATAGGTCGCTCTCTCAATCGATACGCCGAGATACTGGAACCCACAAATGGCCCGGTGTGAACCAGCTGGATTGTCATCATATACATAGATTTTAGATTAGAAGATACCCCAATTTAGAGAATCCCATCAGTCCAGGCGCTGTGTGAGGTAGCCATTGCGTTTTTCATCGCTGTGGAATTGAGATGGGCAAGCAAGGGCAGCCCCTCAAAATGACGCCATCCTCACCCTGAAGGCATCACCGCTACACTATCTTCGCTCCTTCACGCCGCACAAACGACTTGGCAAAGACGAAGAAGCGGGGAGTGTTGCCTCTAGGTGAACCCTGCTGTGAATGCCGATGTCTGGACAAATCCCGTTGAAGTACGCTTATCTATCCCCCCTTGACAATCCGAACTAGGGATTGCGAGCTCACGGCGAGTTACATACACTGAGGGCTTTGGTGTACTCTATCAGGGCGACCTTGCTCTCTATAGCATGCTTTCTATCATTGCATCCGGCTCTATCGCCGAAGAGCGGCGATAAATGTTCTCGATCAACCAGTGGCACTATACGCGACCAGCTTGGCAATGGCGTGCTAGAAAGCTCGACAGTTAAAATTGGAGACAACCTGCCTCTCATGAGGTATCGCGAATCTTGAAACTGGACCTCGTACAATTGTCACTCTGTGCTTCCTTAGAGACTTGCTTTGGCGCAACATGGCTAAAACAAGCGACATCGACCAACAGTCCGTTGGTCCACACCCAACGAGTCACTCAGCCGTACAAGACTCGGTCGGAAGCAAAGATGGCGTCTATGTCCAGTCACAGCAGTTCAACGATAGCGCTTCCGACTTACAGGGACACAATCCGTTCGCGGACCCAGAGGTCGCGGAGCGCTACGCTATGATCTACGAGAAGGCGCAGTACGAGTGTCGACACGTCTTTGATCCGACCCTCACATGGACCCCGGAGGAAGAGAAAGCGTTGGTTCGCAAGCTGGACTGGCGTGTGTGTCTGTGGGCTGTATGTCAACTTCTGTCCTTGTTTGTATGCATAACTTGCTCACTGACTGGGTGTTTAGTGTGTGATGTTCTTTGGTCTTCAGGTTGACAGGGGCAATCTCGTCCAAGCGGTGTCAGATAATTTGCTGAATGACCTTGGGTTGACGACTGATGGTAAGACATCCAGTCATCTTGCATCGTGGGCTGGAGCTAAAATGACTAGATTACAACACCGGTAACACTATCTTTCTCGTCTCGTTTCTGCTTGCAGAGTTGCCGTCGCAATTGGTGTCCAAGAAGATGGGCCCGGATCGGTGGATCCCGGTACAGATGACCCTTTGGTCTATCGTTGCAGCAGCCCAGGCCGGCTTGACTGGAAAGCGGACTTTCTACGCTACGAGAGCGCTTCTGGGAATTCTGGAGGTAACCGAATCTTGCGGGAGATTGCTTCCTTGCTCTAACCTTCTCAATAGGGTGGTTTTATTCCTGATATTGTTCTGTGGTTGTCGTACTTCTATACCAGCAGAGAACTCCCGACTCGTTTAAGGTGATCATACCTTGGTAGGCTCATGACGTATATACTCATCTTTTCCTTAGTATCTTCTGGACTGCTCTTTCAACCACTACCATTATCACCTCATTCATTGCATTCGGAGTTCTCCATATGCGGGGCATCCAAGGCATGGCCGGCTGGAGGTGAGTAGATGCTTCTTGAGCCTCGTAGGCGTGCACTAACGCATGGTATCCAGGTGGCTTTTCCTTATCGAAGGGCTGATCACACTGCTCGTCGGCCTGGCCTCGTTCTTTCGCATGCCTGCCTCTGCCGTCGACACAAAGAAGTGGTTCCGCCCCAAGGGATGGTTCACGGATCGGGAAGTCAGCATCGTGGTTAACCGGGTCCTTCGAGACGACCCTTCCAAAGGTCAGCATTTGCATCTCTGCTTCCTCTTGAAACATTCTCCCTCTCAGACCCATGAAGCTCACACCACATCACCAGGGGACATGCATAATCGGCAGCCCATCACCCCTCGCCGCCTCTGGAACTCCCTGCGCGACTACGACCTCTGGCCCATCTACATCCTCGGTCTAATCGTCTACATCCCCCAGACACCCGTATCAGCCTACATAACCCTGACCCTCAAGAGCGTCGGCTTCAGTACGGTGAGTCGCGAACCCCTCGTCAGCTTCAGCACGATCAACTAACATTGACATCAAACAGTTCACCACGAACCTCCTCACCATTCCTTCCAGCGTCGGCCACATCATCACCCTCCTCCTCCTAACCCGCCTGAGCGAATATCTCAACGAACGCACCTTCGTCGCCATGCTCCAAAGCATCTGGACTTTACCCTGCGTCATCGCCCTGCGCTTCTGGTCCGGCACCATGAACAACGCATGGGGCACCTTCGGCCTCGTAACGACGCTGCTGTGCTACCCGTACTGCCACGCGATTCTGGTCGGGTGGACCTCGAAGAACTCAAACAACGTGGGCACGCGCACGATCTCCGCGGCGCTGTACAACAGTGAGCTGCCCCTTACCCTTACCATCCTTTCTAATAGCAAATTTCCGGAGTAGTTCATCTTCATACGATGAGAACCAGCCCACCCTCGCAAGCCCCTTTAAACCCAAGTGCTAACGCTGACACCCTCTGCTAAATCTAGTGTTCGTCCAAGTCGGCGCCATCATCGGGAACAACATCTACCGTACAGACGACAAACCCAAGTACCGTCGGGGAAACTCCGTGCTTCTGGGCATCAACGTCCTCGCGATCGTGCTGTTCCTGCTTACGAAGGTCTACTATATTTTGCGGAACAAGCATAGGGACAAGGTTTGGAATGCTATGACGGAGGAGGTGGGTTCTTTCTTACTACTCTACTCCCACTGCCCATAGCATTCGATACGGTTACTGATAGTCCCTCTTTTCTATCGTGCAGCAACGACAGCATTATATCAATACCACGACGGAAACCGGGAGCAAGCGCTTGGATTTCCGATTTGCGCATTGATCTTCGCTGTGGCCTAGTGTCTGTCAATTGTGGATTGTGCATGTGCTCGCTCGTACTCAGATAGGTGTGCGATGATGAGCTACCTTGTCGGTATGTGACTGCAAATGCCAACGGATACATCGGGATTGCGAGTGTTCGACCCGAAATGCGGATATATATTAGCGAACTCACGGCTGTTGTGCGAAAGAAAGGATTAGAATCAACCATGCCAGAATATCCTATCCTCATCAAGCCAGGTTGTAGCCCACAGTTACCCGACGGAATCTCAGAGGAAAAGATCCAGGAATTGAGAGATTTGGGGGCGGTCATATGTTATGGCTGGATGACGCTGAATAGATGATGAAAGAGGTGATGATGACTTTGGGAAGATGGTCGAATATGTCACCCGAGTATGGTTTGTGCTGTTTGATGACGTATTATCAAATGGGTCGGTAGCTCAGTGGTAGAGCGTAGGATTGCAGATCCCGAGGTCACGCGTTCGATCCGCGTTCGGCCCTCTCTTTTTGCTTCTTCTCTGTCCCCCTTCACAAACCACGTCCCCAAGTCACAAAGGAGCCTGCCTACATTGAATTTCTGTAGTTAGGCTACTACCATATTGTACATCCTCATCTACCACAACACCTACCTCCTAAAAGTCTATGTCAACCTACCTATTATACTTTAGCCATGTTCTATGCCCAAACGACTGTCTCAACATCGTCCCAGCCCCATCCAACATACAAAGGCCAGCCCGTCTGATCCTCGGGTTCTCCCATTGATCCCCAACAGCCGAAACCTTCAGGCTTATCAGGATCTCCTCCCAGGTAGGTGACTACCAACGGGTATGGGCACACAATCCTCGACAGACTCCCATCTTCCGATACAGCCGGAAGGCTATCCGGGGCCATTCCCATTTCCACCCATGTTGTCAGTGCAGCCATCATGGCCGAAGGAGCAGGGCCCGGCCCTGAGCCACAGTGGCCGACCCCTGGAGCCTCGAAATACCGGTAAAAGTCCCTGACCGCAGGATCACGCTCTGCCACGGCCGCATAGTAGGCCTTGGACCCACCGGGAGCTATTTTCTCGTCGTTCAGCCCATGCCAGTGAATGATCTTACCGCCGCGCTTCTTGAACTCGTGGAGGTCAGGGGAGTCGGCGCTGATTATGGACCGATAGCCGGCGACCGAGAGACGAAGCAAGCCTTCAAACTCTGGATATGTCAACTTCAACTGATATAGATCTAAATCTGGGTTCTGCGCGAGGAACAGCGACAACCAGTCGATCACAACGCGATAGAGCGTAGGGCTGCAACTATGATTGTGGACCGCTTCTGATGAGGAGCACTCGGTGCCATGCCACAACGAACCTCGTGAAAAGCCATGCCATAAAGGCACACCATACTGATCGCGCATGCCCTGCCACATCTTCTGGGCCAAGATGACCACATCAAGCGTAATCTCAACGTCGACTCCGTCACCGCAGTCGACATGCTTGCCAACAAGGAGAAGCGCATTGAAGTCACAAAGGTCTGGCTCGGTAATGATTCCATCAATAACTCCATCACGATCGTCGCAGGCCTTGATGACCTCCGCAGCAATAGCGTTCATCACGCAGGGAGATGGATGGATGTTCAGCAGACGCATCGCAAAGTTGGACCAATAGCTCGCCGGCATCGAATGCGCCCAGCTGAGAGATGGAGAACCCGCTAAAATCCCATCAAAAGCATCGGGAAACCTCTGCGCGAGCACCATTCCCTGGCGGCCGCCCCCGGAGCATCCGTTCCAGTAGGAACGCTTCGGCACCTCTCCGTAGAATTGTTGGACCACGTCTTTCGCCAGAATAGCCATCTCGGACAGAGCGACGGAGGAGAAATCCAGCAGCCGGGCCACGTTCACATGCCCCGACTCGTCATCGAGCGCCCATTCTCGTGCCGACGGGGCGAATGCATTATGCCCCAAGTCGGAGCTAACTGCTGCATACCCCTCGGCCACGGCCATGGCCGTGGCACTGTCACCGCGGGTCCCCGCAAAATCGTCGCCACCGATGCCCTGCAGGCGCTTGTTCCAACCCGAGAGAGGTAGCCACACCTTGATGTTAATCAAATCATCCCAACCGGGGTGGGTGTAAGTCAGGCTGACATTGCAGAAGGTCACGCTGACTCGACGATGCTTGATTGGATTGACTTGAAGTCCGTCAATCTCCATGTCGAACATAGGGAAGACCATCGACGCCACCACTTCGATACCCGGGAGAGAGGGTCGATGGATCTGGAGGGGCGAACACTCAGCTGCTGTGAGTGATGTGAACAAACTGACCTCGATGGCCAAGAGGGATAGGATGAAACTAAACCAATCCATGACTACTGATACTGTATACTCGTTGATAGTGATAGCGATAGATGAATGTGATCAGCATCGCTACCTGAGACTTCTCATCCTCATTACATGCGGCGGGTTTCAACTTATTTCCGGCAGGTGCGATCAAACGCAAAAAGGCAGTCTCACTGCGCCCGCCATCTCAACTTCTACAACAACTTCTACAACATTCAAGCCCAGTGTGATAAACAGGGAGGATATCAATAATATTACTCAACAACGCCGGCAATACTTTCATCGCCAAGGTACAGAAACGGAAAATTCGCCGCACCGATTGTGAAGCTAAACAAAGGGGTTTAACTCCGGGCCATCCGAAGTACGAAGACGAGATCGGCAACCCTCAGGCCTCTGCAGAAGCATTCACTAAGAAAGAGCGACGTTTTGGATTCGTGGAAGATAATCCTCCTGGATTCACTTGTCGCCAGAAACCCCGGCGTACAGTTTCCGGCGAGTTGCTTAGCCGCTTCTGGAGCGGAAGGAATGCCCTTAATATCGTCTGATATGAGCCAAGAAGTCGGAGATGATTCTTGGCAGTATGCAGGGGCAGCTCGCGTCGCTCACCATGACGAGGCCTACGTACTCATTGTACTCGAGACGAGCCTCTTGAGGCAAGAAGCAGGGTCTTTCCGACCGTTCCGCCCCAGGGTTGTTGGCCCGCTGAGCAATGATGATGCGCCGTGCCGCCACGACTGATGGATGCTTCGTTTCGTATCGTGCCATGCCCAGCAAAACAAGACTCGTCACACAAGGCTAAGACTTGCTAAGCAAGTTGCCAAGCCGACTGGCTCGGACATCGGATGTTTGCACTGCATTTGAACCCCAAATTTGCCGAAGCAGTGCGGCATGGGATCGGCAGTCAGGGCCCACCGTGGAACCCGAGCTATTCTGTTTGAGACTTGATGACGACGATCATCATTGATTGGGATTCTCTGAGGCGTCGAGACGCCGACTGCCGAGCCAACGGACGGGTATGGTGAAACAGCGTGGATTCGAGGAGGTCCGTGGAGCGCCCGATAGCCGTTTGAGATTGATATCGGGCGGGACCTGTTATCGAGGACCTGGACCTATGAGTAGAAGCTGCCTTCACGGTATAAAAGCTTTACTTCTTTTCTTGCTCTGATCATCTCAACAACCACGTTCTCTCTTTCGATTCTGTTGATCAGACACTCATTCCTTCCTTTATTCACTCTTTATCACGATTCTGTTGACCAGAATCCATCATGCACTCCTTCCAGCTTCTCGGCCTGGCCGCTGTCGGCTCCGTCGTCTCGGCCGCTCCTACTGCGTCTCGTGTCTCCGACCTTGTGAAGAAGTCCTCTTCTACCTGCACTTTCACCTCTGCCAGCGAGGCTAGCGAAAGCATCTCTTCGTGCTCCAACGTCGTCCTCAGCAACATTGAGGTGCCCGCCGGAGAGACCCTTGACCTGTCCGACGCCGCTGACGGTGCCACCGTAAGTTTTCCTACAACAACCACTAGCTTAGACCCAGCTAACGATACCAGATCACTTTTGAGGGTACCACCAGCTTCGGCTACGAGGAATGGGATGGTCCTCTTATCCGTTTCGGCGGCAAGCAGCTCACCATCACCCAGTCTGACGGTGCTGTCATTGACGGTGATGGCTCTCGCTGGTGGGACAGCGAGGGCACCAACGGTGGCAAGACCAAGCCCAAGTTCATGTACGTCCACGATGTCGAGGATTCGACCATCAAGGGCCTGCAGATCAAGAACACTCCGGTGCAGGCCATCAGTGTGCAGGCGACCAACGTCTACCTGACCGATATCACCATCGACAACTCCGACGGTGACGACAACGGTGGCCACAACACCGATGGATTCGACATCAGCGAGAGTACTGGCGTGTACATCAGCGGTGCTACCGTCAAGAACCAGGATGACTGTATCGCCATCAACTCCGGCGAGAACATCCTCTTCACCGGCGGTACCTGCTCCGGTGGCCACGGACTGTCCATCGGCTCCGTGGGTGGCCGTGATGACAACACCGTCAAGAACGTGACCATCTCGGACTCAACCGTCACGGACTCGGCCAACGGTGTCCGCATCAAGACCATCTACGGCGACACCGGTGATGTTAGCGAGATCACCTACTCCAACATCCAGCTCTCCGGCATCACCGACTACGGAATTGTCATCGAGCAGGACTACGAGAACGGCAGCCCTACTGGTACCCCCTCCACTGGTGTCCCCATCACCGACGTGACCGTCGATGGTGTCACCGGCTCGATCGAGGATGACGCTGTCCAGGTCTACATCCTCTGCGGTGACGGCAGCTGCTCCGACTGGACCTGGTCCGGCGTTGACATCACCGGTGGTGAGACCAGCTCCGACTGCGAGAACGTTCCCTCCGGCGCTTCTTGCTAGAGGTAGACAGGGGCTGGTGTCCGAGCCGCTTCTTATTTTTGTTTATCAGGTTGCGGCACAAAACCAAATCAAGATGCCCGGCTTTCATCTGTTAACTCCGAATGTATAATACTTTTATCTTCATAGCCAATAAAGCTACACTACTGCTTAAGTCACACTCCAGGACATGATATTGTTTCCAGAGCATTGGTAACTATCGCTCTTGTTTAAATACCCTTGAACTCGCCCTAAGTCAGCTGCGACAAACCCAGACTCGACCAGCTATTATACCTCGAGTCAAGCGGAAGAGTAAGTCTCCCAAGATATAGACAGACCCGTCCCAATTCCTGGTTAGGTAGATATCTTGCTGGTTCCTTCGGCGATTGCAAGCACGATATCATACGTAAAAGATAAAAAAAAAAACATGAATTGATGTATAAGTCCGTAGTCAACGAGTCTTCGGGACGAGATTCCCTCCCGTACGGCATGCAAAGGTGGGAAAAAAGCAAAAAGAGATGACCTACGCAGGGCTCGAACCTGCAATCTCTTGATTCGTAGTCAAGCGCCTTACCATTGGGCCAGCAGGCCTTGCTGTTGTATAGTGATTTAATAAAGGTATTATCACTCATGTTGTTTACAAATAGTCCTTACCGAGAAGTGACTCGATAAGTGGATAGGTTTACTTGCCCCTGATGTCATGTGCGTGCCGCTTCTCGGCGTAGAAGCAGATATGTAATCAACTACATTGATAGATATGATTATGCATTATACAGTTTATTCTAAAACACATGCACCTGTCAGTCAGTTCAAGCATCGGCTTCCGACATCAAGCGTTGCGATTCCGCGTTCTCCTGCGCGTGGCGCACGTGAAACTCGAAGCTCAGTTCTCCGACGAGACTTCTCACATCACTGAACATATCATGTTAGCGACTGTTTGTTTCTCAGAGAAAGGGAGAGAGAAACGAGAGAAACGAGAGAAACGAGAGAAAGTCGCACAGATAAACATACCGTAACAGATCATCCAAAGTGAAGCTAACCACCGACCGCAGCACCTCCAGACAGACAAACGCCGAAAACGCCGGATCCTCGACGTGGCGGATGCTCAGCAGCTCGCCGTCAATGCGCTGCAGCTCCCGCGCTAGCGGGAAGGAGTCGCCCGTCGAGAGGTACGGCGGCAGCGGCTGCGCGTTGGTCATGGACGCCGACAGATGGCAGAGCAGCGAGGTGATCTGGTGTGACTTGAAGCCCGCGGACTGCAGCGCGATCGAGGCCAGTCTCGCGACCCATTTGTTTTCTTCGGAGTTGCTGACGGCGCCGGGCTGGCTGTCGACGGATAACGCGTCCAGAGTCTGCGTGGTGTGGGCCATCAGCGCCATGCTGGTGAGCATGCGCTGGATCTGGCTGATGATGCGGTCGTAGGTCGGCTTGGGGAATCTGCCGCCGATCGGGGGCTCGAAGGTGCTGAAGTGGCTGTGCATGCGCAGGCTGTTGAGGAGGATCATCTCCTCCTTGAAGATCTTGTGGCGGGTGTGGTCGAGGTGGTGGGCGGCGGAGCGCACGTCGTCGTCGACGCTGCCGAGCGAGCCGTTGAGCCAGAGCTCGATTGTTGTGTGCATGCAGCTGTAGAACTTGGCGAGGACAAAGAGGCCCCGTCCGAGCGCTTTGCGGAGGGTCGATTTGGCGGTGATCGGGTACGGGAAGATCACCCAGAAGAAGGAGATGGCGCAGCCGGCGGCGACTGCTGCGAGTTTGTAGGGGCCGAAAATGTAGATGGGGTAGTAGGGCTGGCCGTTGGAGGTGGCGACTTCGACTCCGAGTTTGCGTACCTAGAGAACGTTGAAAGGCAGTTAGACCTGAGGATTGTTTGGATGGAATGCAGAGAGGGCGGACGGACTTGTAACTCGTATCCGACGATAACGTTGAATGTCACTATGGCAATTACGGTTGCGCCGAAGTACTGCGGAACCTTGATGTAGAAGTAGTACTGCCAGGAGAGTCAGCGATGAGTGATTGGGAGTTCTTCCCCAACAGACTTACTTCAAATATGTTTCCAATGTAAAGGAACACTATGACTCCTGCAGTCTTTCCATCCACTATGTACCACACGATCAAGCTCAACACCATCGACACGACAGTCGCAGCAATTCGAGCCACAAAGCCGAACATCGTCTGCCCACTGGTTGGGTTCATACCGATCACAATGACAATCATGGCCCAGATGCATCTTTGGTGAATGAAGAAATCTTGGGTCTGTCGCAGGAAGGCTAGGATACCGACGCAAAATGCCGCTGCTGCCACCCGAAATCCGAAAATGCTCTGCTCAGACTTGATAACTTTCGACATGATGCGA